AAGAGAACTACGACTTGGGAGAAGATTTATTCTCCAGCAAGACAACGAGCCCAAGCATACAGCAAAAGCTACAGAGAATGGTTCAAAGACCACATGGTGAATGTTCTGGAGTGGCCAAGTCAAAGCCCAGACCTCAATCCAATCCAGAATCTGTGGCTGGACTTGAAAAGAGCTGTTCACGCCCGATCCCTGAGTAACCTGACAGAGCTTGAGCTGTTTTGAAGAAGAATAGAGAAAAATCTTAGTGTCCAGATGTGCCAGCCTGTGATTGCAGCCAAAGGTGCATTCACTAAATACTGACCTGGAGGGGGTGAATATTTATGCAATCATTTACTTTACCTTATATATTTTTAATTAATTGATATTATTTTGTAAAAATCTGTTTTCACTTTGATGTTAAAGAGTTTTTTTTTGTCAAAAAAAGCCAAATTATATTGACCATGATTTCATGTATAAAAGCAACAAAAGGATGAAACATCCAAGGGGGGTGAATACTTATGCAAGGCACTGTATATAAATGTAAAAATATATTTCAGCACATTTCTGTTATAACTTAAATCCTTTTAATTTAGGGTTAATAAACCCACATTACTCTATCAAACTTTTAAAGAAAATATGAAAGCCAAATATCAAACAAGTTATTAACTTTGTTCAATGCTTAAAATCCTTTCAATCCCACGTGAAGTATTTCATCTGTTTTAAAGCCACGTTTAAAGTAGTCTTCAATGTACTCGCAATACATTTCCATGTCAAATGTACAGTAACCAGCCAAAGAGCTGCTTCTGTGACTGTTGTGTTTAAGTATCTCATCATTTTGACTTTCTATCTCATAATTTCAACTATGGGAATCTTTTTATTATCAAGTCTGGATCAAGCCGGATTCGGTCCGCGGGCCTTGAGTTTGACACCCCTGTTCTAGTTGAACTATTCAAATTCATACTCTTGGAAAAATACTCTTTTTAAAAAGTCAGTTTTTATTTCATATTGACATTTTCTCACCGACACTTCTATTTCATGTCTAGTTTTATTTCACTCAGCTGGTTTATTATCTAGACTGGGTTGAGAGCTTTAATTATGACTTAGCATTAAATTGAAGAGTTAGCAGTGTTAGCTAGCTCCTGTTGGCTTGAGCGACCACAGAGAAAGACTCGGTGTCTCTCTCTGTCTCTCTGTCTCTCTCTCTCTCTCTCTCTCTCTCTGTCTCGCTCTCTCTCTCATCTTCACAAATAAAACTAATTAACCAGCTAACGTGTCACAGCAGCAGCTAGATAAGTGTTGCAGTGTAACTTTGACATTGTTGTTGTTTTAGCTAACAGGTGCTAACTGGCTACATCTGGTTGCAGTTGTTTATCTCGCTAGTTAGAGGCTGGGGCCGTGTGACTAGTGACAACACCGAAGGGAAAAGTGACATTATGAAATACAAAATGACCTGCTAAAAAAAAAATATATTTCATAATAATTAAAAATTTCTTAAATTATTGCACTATTTGTATATTTTAGACAATTTATTCACATTTCTTTCATAATTACTCCTTTATTTAATGTTTAGCTCTTTGGGGCTCCATTTTAATGATATGAAGTGAGACATCAAAAACGATTGTTCATTTTGAGTGTTCTTAACCTGCTTTCATCTCCCTCCTGTGTAGCTTCACTGCTGTGGACTGACCGGGGTACCGCTGGTAGAGTTGGTTAAACACACCTGTCCCGAACCGGACGGTTTCTTGGAGCATTTCAAGATGGATGTAAGTTGGTGCCAAGAAAGCTGTTGTGATGAACATGATGTATGTGTTAAGATGTGTATGGTTTTGAGTTCACCTTTGTGTTATCTGTGTTCTCTTAGCACACTAGTTCAATGTAGGATGGCTGAGGATAAATAAACCCCCTTTCTTGTTGCCACCATTGGAAACTGAGCGGCTGTATTCTGTCGACTCTGAGATGCTAACAGTTTCTCCTGTCTTGTTGCTACAGAGTTGTCCTGAAGCCATCCTAAGTGTCTTTGAGAGTAAAGCTGAACTGGTGATGGGCATCTTCGTTGGAACTGGAGCTCTTTTGGTAAGCAAATATGTTGCTTGCTGCACATTTAGACATTTACACACTTGGACGCAGTAGATGAAGTCAATGTTTTGGCTATAGGCTGGTTAATGATTTACCAAACAAATTACCTTTTAAAAAAAACCAAACATTGTGCCCATTTTGCAAATAGCAGAGCCAATCAGGAGCCAGATACAGATCATTTGCTTTGTTTTGCTTCGATTGGCTCATAGATAAAGCAGGTATGGCGGCCTACAGGTACAAAGGCTGAGTGTTATCCTCCAAAGACATTACCTGGAGGAGATGATATCAGATTGGCTTCACTTCACAGAACCGGCGGTGGCCGCCTGCTACAGTCTCACATAGCTTGCTAGCGCGGCTTTCGACTCATAATGTAGTAATAAGTGAAACCATATTCTGAGCCGCCTCACCACAACTTCCTGTTCACTGTAAAGTGCTTTGAATATTGTCATGCCTGAAAACCAATAACGAGCCTTATTTATACTGTATTGAAGACAACACAGTCCATAATGTAAAAACCATCCAGTGTTTAATTAGCATCAAATTAGTCAAAACTGACTGCTGTAGGGGACAAGGAGGAAAAGTGAGACCGATATCTTTTATCTTTTCCATTTAGTGTCTTGCCTTTACATAAGCTTAATTTTGTCTTCTGCTCTTGTTGTTCATAAAGTATATGACCGTGTTTCTAATCACTCTAAATCCCCCTCGTCTCTCTTAACCAATCGTCCTCCCCCTGTCTTGCTTTCACTCTTTTCATTCTCCCCATCCTTGGTGCCCAAAGGTCATAGCTCTGATTTGCAGCATAATCCTCAATAGAAAGCTACGTCTGTCTGAATCACCTGCTCAGTGCATCATCCTGACTCAGTCCACTTCTGTCCTGGCTAATCCTATCCCTCAGCACGGATTTGTCGCCACCTCCTACGCCTACCCAGTCGTCTCCACCTCCTACCCTAACCCAGTCATCTCCACCTCCTACCCAGTCGTCTCCACCTCCTACCCTAACCCAGTCGTCTCCACCTCCTACCCAGTCGTCTCCACCCCCTACCCAATCGTCTCCACCCCCTACCCTGACGTCTCCACCCCCTAACCCTGACCCAGTCGTCTTCGCCCCTCTCTCTGCGGCTAACATCCCTTTGGCTTAGTCCTAGTGCGCTCTTGTTGGTTTTCACTCCCACTCTGTCTTGATTTGATTCCATGACGCTCTAGCATAGAGAATACACATCTATGTTTTTATCCATTCTCTTCACTGCTGAACATGTTCAGCTCCTCTCTGCATGGTCACTGCAGGGCGTCTCCAGCTCGCTTTAAAAGGAAAACTCCAATCTTTTTAAAAAAGGACCTAAGGCACAATTATGACAACACTCCATCTTTTGGAACCGTTTAATTTTGTTTAAATCCCACAGGTTATTGGTCAAATGCTGATATTCTGAGACATTTGTTAAATTAAAGAGCAAAGGCTTCTTATTAAGCCAATAATATTGCACACGTTTCACAGATTATGCATCACTACATAAAAAAAGCTATAACAATATTTTTTATTGTTGACCCATCAGTGAAGGTTTTTTATTATATTATTTAATCTGCATCTATACCGTTAAAGAATAAATATCCAGGGTTGGATTTTTCCTTTAAACCTCTACTTCATCATTTAACATTTTCCTCACACAAATTCTAAAATTAACATACAAGTGGCTGCATGCAAATTGAAAGCATGGGCTGGTGCCGCTCTCACACGAACCCATTCGGTGGCTGGTTTAATCCTGGAGGGGCTAACGAGCGGGAAGCAGGTTCCTCTCCTGTCTGCATCACAGATTATCGCCCTGGTCTGCGCCATTATCCTCCTGAAACGGACCAAGAGAGACCAGCAGGTCTCAGCACCGTGTACCAACAAGAGGATTCGGTTGGCCCCTCTGCCTCACCGACGACGGCCATCGCTGTAATTCAGGCTCAACCAGCAAATGAGTGTTTACATATGTGTCTCTGTATGCATGTTTGTTTATTTATTTTTCAGGCACAATGCACACCAATCAACAGTTAAACTGTAAGTGAGCCAGAGAGGCTAATTTTCATCTGCTGTGAACTACTATACTAGTTTTAGAACTGAATTCAAAATCCTAAAACATCACACTGCGTTTATAATGTGACCTGTTGTAAGTGAACGACACTGCTGCTGAGGTTTTTGTGCTTTTGTCGGTTGTCTACATATGAAGTAGTTAAATGCTGACTGAGCCACTGGCAAATAGCACCACTTGAATTCGTATTGTGTGTTTAAAATTCAAAAACGGAACATTATCTTCCATATCCATTTCACAATTATTTCAAGTGTTTATTTAAGGTTAAATCACATGACATTGTTGAAATGAAGTTTCAATTTATCCTAACTTTCTTGTAACTGTTAATTAATTTTGGTGCTGTAGAGATGTAATGTCACATTGTTACACGAGTCATTTATACGTTGCTTTAGTTTTGCAAATATTGCATTCCATGTCATTTCTTCCAGTTGTTGCACCCAGAGGGCCACAGGTCAGAAAGCAAAGTCTTCTGGTGTGTGACAGAAATATTCTGCATGCTTCCCTCAGTCATCAGGTACTGTTTCAGGCTGTTAAACTGACTGTAAACATGCCGAGTGCTTTAAAGCTGTGCTGCCTTCCTGTAAACGCTGGGACACATCTTGCTGTTAAGAGACATTAGTTCAACTTTTCATTCCTGCCAAAAGCCTTTCGGACCAAATGGAAGTATATTAAGGGTCCTGTTTAGACAGAAGACAGCTGAATTGTTTGTGTATCGCTTGTTTTCTTTCCCGTACCACTGTAGTACTATTTGCATTGCACTATATTGTTTTTACATTCACACGTTTTTGAATAAATATTCTATCGAGGGCTTTTCCTCTCCTCTTCACTAAGACTTGTGTATCGGTTATTTCCATGAAACAAAACAAGAGTGCAGCTGTGTAAGAGTGTTTATTTCATTGCTCACGCGTCACTGTTGGGACCTGTGAGGAAAAAAGAAGTTCATGTTAAAGTTCTCGAGACTGACTGGGCCTGATGCTTATAAAGTTTTTGGTGAAATATGATGACTACATTGGGTAATGTAAACTATGTAGCCACAATACATCTCGTACATTCAACAGGAATCCATCTGTGCAGCTTTAGTGTAGATTCTCAGTGGATCACAGACTTATTGTTGGAGGGACAATAGTTCTTTGTTGAGTTAGACTTTCCAAGTCTGGAACCCACAAGTCTTCAAATTATAAAAATATATATAATCAATGTATAAGAACCTTGTTGGACTAGTTCCTCTCTTATGTTTCCACTGTGTTAAACTTACTGCTGATGCAGCGTACAGTGCAGTCACCATCTGCAGCAGAGCACACTTCTGTCGAGCACAAGAAGTAGATCTGAGGGTAGGAGAAAAAATGAAGAAACAAAGAAATGGTTTTATGGCACAATTACACTAATCCTAGTCTACATGTAGCCACCACTATGGATGGTCTTTAGGGTAGCCTGAACTTCAAAGACAACAATAGATGTTTACTTGTATGAGCACGTTAAGTGGGAGGTACCTCTGGGTCCTCCAGGTGAGAGTATCCTCCTTCAGCCATGTATGGGGGACTTTCTGAGTGCAGAGACAGGAAGCCAGAGATAGTGAACCTCCGGATGTGGTGGGGGTCAGGGCGTGGCGAAGGAAGCGGCTCTGAATCACCTCGGCTGGGACAGCTGAACACAGCGGTGAGAGCACAGCTACAACTGAAAATCTCTACAGGAGAACTTTGTAAATAGCTCCTCAGACTTCATTAGAATTCAATGAAAATACAAATTATATCAGTATCTAATACAAGTAATTAATTTCTGTACAACATACCCATCATAGACCAGCATCCAGCTGGCGTATGGAGCTTGAGAGTAAGCCAGGCAGGAGTGAACCAGCAGCACCAGGCCGGGCTCGGGGGGGTCCAGCAGGCTCACCTCCATATAGACTGGTCTGCCTCGCAGGAGGCTGAGAGGCAGGTGAGCCTCGGGGTGGAAGCTGGTGAAGGACTCGTCTACGAGGAAGAGAACATTGGAACAGTATTACGGTGCTGTGAGGCATGATGGGCCATTTAAAAGAGAATACAGAGAAGACAATCACCTGTGGCAATTCTCAGTAGCACAGCGACAGTGGCTGGTGTAGAGTGAACAGGAGGTGGAGGAGGTTGACCCATCACATGGAGCTTCACTTCACCTGGAGAACCCGGGGAGGAGCTACATTCCACCATCAGCCTGTGGATCAACAGAGTGGCTGCAGCGTGTCTCAATATCCAAAACTAAGCTGAGCATCTTTGACAGACGGCAATTATTTCACGACGTGTGCGTCGCAGCTCGTTTATTTTGGGACAATGTTTGTCATTTATCCTCTGATGTTGCATCTTTTGGAGGTGGAGATGTGTCTGTGTGTGTCTGATGGTGTTCTGTGAGCTGCTGCTTTGAATGATTGCAGCTGTGTTTCCTGACTGATGGCAGTGCAGCAATCAGCAAACGCTGAGATAGTGAAGCTGTGATTTTGGGATAATTGCATGCATCTGTTAACAACTGTAACATTTTACTGTAAAAATAGAGGTAACATATTTTGCAAGGGGTGGATTTTTTTTGTGTGATTCAATTTTCCTCTATTTTATGTTAGATTCTATGCCTATGATCATTAGAAAGGAAAGTAAACTGAGCATGTGTTGCAATCTAGGCCTGAGCTTTGACTCCACCTCCTGGCCAAGTGCCATTTGAAAGCTTCGAAACTTCCTGGGATCAAAAAATTAAACAAAAACATTCAGAAATATGCGTCTGACTGATTGCATGAACATGTATTAACACGTGTTCAGCTGATTGCATTAACACGTGTTAATGCATGTTCATGCAATCAGCTGACTACTGTCTGTAGATGATCTGTTGAAGTCATTTGCCTAGAATTGGATTCTAGTCTAAAAGAAGTAGAAATAATTTGCAACACAAAGCTAACTGCCTGTAAAGAAGCACATGATTAAAGAAGAAAAGACAGCCCAAACTCATACAGCTGAACAACACGCACCCAAACGATACATGGTGGTAAATGATTCCCTCTTAAAATAAAGTTACTATCCAACTCTAAAGCTTCCCTTCAACAGTAATGGCATACCTGACAGGAGAGTTCTCGAGCTCAGAGCTGTGGTCTCGTTGAAAAGAGTGGATACCATGGACTTCCAACAGATGAACCACTGTCTGACCAAACGCCTGACAAGGATATGAAGTTGGAAAAAATGATTTCCATCATGTTATAAAGTGATCAGATGGTGGTCAGTCAAAGCATCACTCTATTCCACCACATTAAAGTTGAATTAACTTTCACGAGGCGTCGTCGCGGTCGGCCTGCCTTTTTTTGGGGGCGCTACCTTTATGCGTTATACATTGGAGAGTTCCTTACGTGTTTGCTTACTCCACAGCCGTCCAGGGGGACGGTGTAGATGTCCCGGTCAGAGGTCAGCTTCTGCGGTGTGCAGGACACATGGCTGAGCTCAGAGGGATGAGCAGGGGGGGCCACTGTGGGCTCCACCACAGAGTCCGGCAGCGCAAAGATGAAATGCTGTCCCATTGTACAGTCTGTTGGGACACAAACAAACAAACACACACACACACACAAACACACACACACACACACACACACAAACACACACACACACACACACACACACACACACACACACACACACACAGTCATTTTGCTTTGACCAGTTTACAAAAAAATCCTCCGATTAAAATCAAGGACAAATATTTAAGTGTTGGCAAAAATCACAAATGTAATGCTTTTAATTGGGTGGTTTGGGTGTCGGCTTCTCGCCTCAAAGCCCCACACGATCATCCAATTCTCTGATTTTCTTCATTGTCGGTTCATTTTTTTCCAGACGCGTGTTGACAGGATCTGCTGTGGGAGGGACTCACCCTTCACAGGGTACGAGCAGCAGCCCAGAGAGACGCGGCAGTCGAAATCTGACACAGGGCCAAGGCCCCGGGGTGAGGCAGAGAACGGCTCGGCCTTGAGCTGATCTGAGCGCAGAGAGCAAACAATGAGAGGAGAGCCAGTTATACTTCAATAGCTCTATTCAGCAGCAGGAGAGATGACAGATTCATAAATTCAGACTCGGTTTTCCATTCAGGTGTCTAGTTACAGCCAGAATAGATGCCAGACCTTTAGCCTGGCACGGCTGAACAATAATGTTCTGCCGCCTTGTGGTGATCTGAAGTCAGGACACTGACACCAAAAGCTACGTCCCAAACATAATAGCTGCTGGTTTTTCACCTTTCATTTCATTATCCAGCCTCTCTTCTGCTTTTTCGCCACCAGGACGTCCAACAGCATCATATTGATGTTCCCGGGTGTTATGAGGGGAATAATAATAATAATAGTAAGGATGTAGGGGGTCATTGTGAGCATCATACGCCGATTCTGTAGGTGGAGTAGAGGTTTGAGGATATGGATAGGAGGGATGCTGAGGCGGGGAGGAAGACGCTGGAGGCAGATGCTCTAAATCTAAAGCTTCTTTGGAGGAAGTCGGAGACCCGCGATGGTCAATGCCGAGTAAACTCTCAGGTCCATAATACATCTGATAGTAGCGATAATAAGGGTGGTAGTAGAATGGGTAAGGAGGAGGATTATGGTAGGGTGATGGAGTGGGGAAGGAGGGTTGTTCAGGACGAGGAGCTGCAGCAGCGTCGGGTCCAGGAGGGGGAGTGGGGGGGAGGAAAGGTTGGACTGCTGGGGTCACGGGGGCAGAGAGTCTCTTTCTGTCATCCAGCTCTGCTTTTACTTCTGGCCTGCTTTTTTGAAGGTTTTGAGAATCACCATCAGTATTTAAGTTGAATCCGTCATGAACGACGGTGCTGGGTTTTGAATTTGGATTATCAGACAAATTGGTTTCTGCAGCTGTGTCGGGATTGAGAGGAGCCAATCTTTCGGCCTCGCCCCATGCAATATGTGGAAAGTAATAGGAGTGGTACGGATAGGGCTGTGGCAGGTGAGGTGTATACAGTGCAGAGGCTTTGGGAGGACTAGTTGGAAGGGTGTAAGGAGGAGAGGCAGCCTTAGGCTCGGGCTGAAGGAACTGGTGCGAGTTAATTCTGCGGAGAGCCTCGGACTGCTGCAGGTTGGTGGGAAACACCGGATTTTCAGGGTTATTAGGATTAGTTAAAGACAGTTCTCTGGGAACCTCAGGACCTGGATCAGGGTCTTGAGGTGGGCCAGGAAGAGGGATTTTAGGGTGATGGTAGTAGTGATAGTATGGATTGAAGGCATGGCTGGAGGGCTGGAGAGGCAGTTCTGGATACGCCCGACCTGAATCATCCGTATCATCTGCAGATGACAGAGAACTGTGGACACCAAAATGTTTATAAGACTCCCTGACAGGAATCAGGTGAGAGTAGTGGTTCCGATAGTCTGGCTGGGAATCAATGGCAGGGAGAGGCTGAGGACCGAATGTAGGGTCAGGAGTCAGAGATGAGGGAGAAGGAGGGTTAACTGCAGTGCGTCTCTCAGGACTAGGATACTTGTGGCGATACGTAGGGTGGGGATAGTAAGGTGGGGCCAGGTAGAACGGTGGAGCCCATGGAAGTGGCTCCAGGGATTCTGGCATGTGCTCTGCTGGCCCTCTGGTTAGATGATGAGGGCTGTTGACCACAGGCTGATGGGTCAGGGGGAGTTCTTCAGGGGGAGAGACAGGACAGGTCAGCGTGAATGTCTGCTCTCCTATCTGAAGAGAAAGTGTGTGGTTTCCATCCTGAGGAAAAAGATGAGATTTTCTGTGTGAGACGGTAGAAAATAACCATGTTCAGGACTAGATCATTAATGTCTGAACACATAAGGAAGTAAACGATATCTATATTTAGCAGTTGATGGTATGGCGGTCCGACTTCTGACAACAAGGGCACCTTTGTACACTAAAGCTGGTCTGAGACGGTGTCTTTCTATTCTTATTCTTTGACTAAATGCTTTGAATCTCAGTCCTTTACCCCTGAAGTTAAACTTCCGTTATAAGTCGGTATAATTAAGTTATGACTTAAGGGTGAATTTAGTTGAAGCAAAAGTAATATCTATATGCGTTTTGTAATAAATACACACACACGTGTGTGTATATATACACGTACGTATACACACGTACCCACGTACGTATACGCGCGCGCGCACACACACACACACACACACACTTTTTCTCAATTGAGTTCATCATTGATGGATGGATTTATTGGATTAAATTTGTTTCCTTCAGATGATCTTTTTGATTCTTAAAGATATTTTGATTTCCTCAGATGTTGCACTGCGTTCATTCCTCCCTCAACACGTTTCTAAAGTTCACATTAATACAAACGAGACTTTAAGATATCATGTGACACCAGTCACATAGTTTTGGCATCATCCTTCCCTGAGAAGTTATTACTGACCGAGTCATTATTATTGATGATCAAACTCAAAGAATGACAGTGCTATGGAGACAATTTAAAAAAAAAAAAAAAAAAAAAAAAAAAAAAAAAAAAAGAACACTGAAAATGTAATTTCGATGTCTCATAAATTGTTCCTTTTCTGAAATTCACCTTTACTGCGACGCCACAGGTAATGAACGGAGCAGCGATTATAATCTCTGCATCTCGTCTGTCCAGTGTGTAGCCACACAGCTCAGCTAACTCCACCAGACGGGTCCATTTCCCTCGGACTGTAGAGAAAAGGAAAAAAAAACAACTGTCATATTTATTGTAAAAGTCTGGAAAACAAAAGAGAAGAAGAATATCTGAGTGAACTAATAGAAATGAAAGGGAAACTTCGTTTTACCATTTACCCTCAGCTCCTCTGTAGCATGGAGTCCCTGCACTTTGACGGTCATACCGAGCGGGGAGCAGCAGAGGGAGGAAGGGCCCCCGGCCTGAAGCTGGATCTGAGGGGCTGGGCAGGACATCTTGACTGGCGTCCCCCTCCACAGCAGAGGCAACGCATAGCCGTCAACCTAAAGACATGTTTCAAAACAGCAACCTTTTATAACTTTTACTGCTGCTGGCTAAACAATTTCACATCCATTAGACAAGCGCTTCTCATTAAATACGCATTAAAAACATGAGTCATCACACCATGAAAGTCCATAACTATCTTGTTAAGATGACATTGGAGCTAGTTAAACTAATCTGTGCATTGTTATCAGACATTAAACATATTACATGGATACCATACCTCCTGTGTGACATGGCAGGCATCATACTGAGCCATCAGACTGAGGTCTCTCAATGTGGTCTGAACAGAGAAGCCACACTGAGGTGGCAGCTGGGACAGCGGCACGGAGGACTCGTTCACTGAGACACAAAGACAACAAAACCTTAATTTTACCCGTACTTGAGTCCACACCAAGCTGCTACTATTTTGTTTGTATCTCCAAATTCAAGCTTTGTATAACAATGTCACCATTCCAGACACGAGGGGGGGGGGCTGTAGCCTCACCTCGGTCCAGCTGTAGCTGGACAGCTCGTCTCCTCCTGACAGTGAGGGTCATGGCGTCGTCTCCGCACTGCACCACGGGGTGCAGCCTGTGCCAGCTCTCCTCTGAGCCGTTGAGCCGCTGACCTCTGACCCTCTCCCGGCCTCCCTGAGCTTGGACTGGTGAACAAAAACGAACCATAACAATAATGCTTTGAATGAATCTTCTACTCTCCTGCTGTTAGGGAGGTTTGACATTTAAAAAAGGCACAGCTTTATGAGCCATTATCGCTGGAGAAACCATCTCTCACTGCATTTTATTTTTATTCTTTATACTGTGGACCTTTGCACAGCCACAAAAATAATGTTTTTTGCAGTTACATGTACATTTTTTTTCCTATTCTATATTTATGCACCAATACACCAAAGCAAATACATTTCATATGAAAACATTACTTCAATGGGAATAAAGTACTAGCCCAGCTCACCTGAAGCAGCAGAGTCTGCCTGGTCGCCCACATGAAGGCTCGTTTCCAGTTGACCAGTAATATAAAACGCGCCGGGAACAACATGCTCAATTTTCCCTTTGCCACAATATTCATTTGGGGCGTCGCTTCGCTTCGGTTTGTTACGGTTTTTGAAGCTTTTGTCAGCGGACGTAGACGCCATTGTGAGTTTGGGCGTCAGTCCGGAGGTGTCGGACCGTGTCCGGTCCCCGTTTTCCAAGTTGTGAAAGTACGGGAGACGTCTCGACTCTTCTCCCCGCCTCGAGTCGAGCTGTAGCCGCTCTCTGCCCTCTCGCTCAGAGGGGTGAGGGAGGCCTTCTGTCGTCACAACGCTGCTCCCGTCATTGTGCAGAGACGGGTGAGCGGTCGGGTGGGAGGAATGAACGGAGGGCTCACACCGGCCCACTGAGGGGAAGGTTATGGTCGTGATGGTGTAAATGAGGACACCGAAGCAGTATCCTGTTCGTTTCAAATGCATGTCAGATAAGAGTTTCTCTCTGCGCACCAACACACTGGGGCAGAGGGAACAGCAGCGGTATCTTTGTAGGTAGGCTTCCTGCCAACACACCTGTGCGCTAATTGCCACTAATTAGTAAATGGCGGATTATTAGTATAACGGTTGCAGATTTCACACGTTCAAGTGTGTTTAATGAACGTTGAAGGATTCAAGTCACCACTTAACTTGATTTAAGTGCACTTTCTCATGTACTTAACGTTTGAATACTATCATTAGCTGCTACTTTATGCTTCTATTCCACTACGGAGGGGAAATGTTAACACATAACCCCACAACATTTATATTTTCCTAAAAAAAAAAATCAAATAAAAGAGAAACAAAACACAGTTCATTGTTAAAGATTAAATGGGTGATTCAAAACATTTTCGGCTTGTGACTTCTCACAAAAAAAAGCAGATCCTCCAAAGAGATTTCCCCTCTAGAATTTAGAGGGATTTATTTAGACAGCTGCTAGAATCATACAACGATTCACAAAAAAAAAGGAAAGATTACAGAAAAGTCTAAAAAATTAATATAAATTTGTCGACCCCTTAGATTTATTTTGTGATATTTTGAAAGGGAACAAGCTCTACCCAGCTACAACATATACGCTCTGATACATCATTATCAATCTAACATATAATAAATGATCAGTCAGGACGTTTTCTGCACAATAAGTACATTTACTCAAGTAGGATTAGGATTTTGAAACGTGTACTTTGAGTATGGACTATTAAAAACTTTGATCACAATCTACTTCTCTGTCCACTAGAGGGCGGTACTACATTGAACTAATCATTTCCACTGGAGACCTATCCACACGCACACACACACACACACACACACACACACACACACACGTTATTCATACATTTGTACCCTCAGAAATTGCTTTTTTTTTATCTCTTAAATACAATTGACCGTTATGCATAGTTGAATTCTTCATTAAAAATATATTTTAACTCTTAACTTAAAAACATGTCTGCACTTCTGACAGATCTCACTCCACCCTGACATACATCCCCGTTGACCTTTGCCCTCTTTTTAAATAGTCTCTCTCTTTTTTGTCAAACTGCACACATCATCTGATTGATAGTAATAAGTCATATACTAAGTCACATCAGAGATTAATTTACCACCTAACTCATTTGCATTTCATAGTTTGGTTTTATATACTTAGCTGAAATGAAATCCTTTGCTGTTCTTCCCAACTGCTGTCTGGCCTGGAAATAAATGCCTCTAATAAAAGTTTAATAGACTCTAGATGTTCCGCCTATTCATGAGGAGAAAAAAACACACAGATATTTTCTGTGTGCTACTGTAGGCGACCAAACCGTCAGGAAACAAGAGCACTGTTGGTTTAACTGCCAACTCCGCCATCTGATAATTATAGTGACTCTGCCAAGCTGTGGGCAGTCATCACATTGAGGTCATGATGTTATCGACTGAGGGCAGACTGGTAATGTTCTCACAGTTTGCCCTCTCTCGCCTCAAGAATCACAGTTTGAATGCTTGAAACAAAATACACTTCATAAAGAGGCTGTGTGTGTGTGTGTGTGTGTGTCAATGGGGTGGGTGTGGGGAGGGGGGGATGATCAGTTGATGATGGGCGCGGCAGTGAGATGACTCATATTTGGAGTTGCCTAGCTACAGCCAGGAGTTGTTTTCTTGAGAGTCGGAGCGAGAGTACAGTGTGTGTATATGTCTGGATTTCATTGAGAGAGCGAGGCTTTGTGGGGGCGACATAAACGCAGGGGTGGCACCCGAGCAGGAAACAGGAGGAGCAGAATAGTTTTCCAAAAGAGGAGAAGAAATCACGTGAGGACAAACTGGAGTTAAATGTAGTAATGTCCACGAGGGAGGGGAAAGAAACAGAGCGAGGTCTACAAAAGAAGAAAAGAGGGCTGAGGGTGAGGAAGTGAAGCAAGTACGAAAACCCTTGGCCAGTAACCATGGAAACATGCCGGCTCAACTAAATATGAGGAATTCTTTTTTTTTTGTTGAATGTAAACGGTGGCTGAGGCACCACAGCTGACACACACACACACACAGGCAGCCAACAGGGCGCATGCTTTGAGAGACATTCTCTCAGCTACAGGTTTAGCATATTCTTTGAGGTGTTAATTTGATTTTGATTGCTCCTTCGCTCAAAGTTACCCCCGGCACGTCCACCTCCTACGTGGGTCTTTGCCCTGTGCCACATCATGTAGCCTCTCTTCTCTGATTCCAATATTTCACCCTCGGGACAAACACAAAGCTTGAGTTTTGTGCAACAATTCAAACACAATCTAACAGTATAAAAGAAAAAAAATGAAAGCAAGTTATAATAATGATAATACACTTTTTTGTATAGCCCCCTTCATACAAATACAGCTCCAAGTGTATGTATATATATACATTTTAAATATTTAAACAGTGTCATAAAAATAAATAAAAGATTCAATAAAAACAAGGATACAGACTTAAACAAAACGTATGGTTAAACAATTTAAATTGTTCGGATCATTAGAATCAGCTTTATTGGCCGACTATGTGTACACATACAGGGAATTAGCTCACACAGCACATAGAAATAGACACAATAACAAGGACAACAAAGATGGGTAAAATAAACATTGAACGTATGTACATACATGTAGGTGACAATAATAGGTGTGTACATAAATATGTCTAAAATGCAACAATGAACAAAAACATACAATGTCTGCATACACAAATCAAGTCGTACTTTAAATGTAAACAGTGCAGATATTGAATGGGTTATGTTATAAATGACTTTAGAAACATGAAGTGGGTGCTTACAGTACATGCATGTATACATGTCTATGTACAGCATATACAAGGTGTACAGGTATAATGAAAAAAGGAGTGGACCAAGTATTGAACCCTGTGGAACACCATATGGAATGTATTGGGTACTTGAAACAACCAATACTTATGATAAAACTGTAGGTCATAATTAACCTAAATTGCATCGGCACTTGTGGTTAACGTTGCCATCCTGCTTATTTGTCCACAACTGAACACTTTAACTTTTTGAAAAAGCATGTTTTTTTTTTAAAAGGCCTGTATTTCCTTACGGAGAGAATGAGGCTGCCTTCAATTAATGAGTTATTGTCGGGCCGAAGGCCACGGCATGGACACACACTGGGGAGGTGACCATTACTGGAAAATGAAACTGATGATCATCACACTCCTGAGAGAAGGACAGAAGGAAAGGAAACTGTGTGTGTGTGCGTGTGTGTGTGTGTGTGTGTGTGTGTGTGTGTGTGTATGTGTGTGCCGTTGTTTCTCCAGTTCAGCAATGTGTCGTGTGGTGAGTATGCATTATGTTTATACAATATGCATGTGTTTACTTTTTTTTCCAGAAACTGGGGCCATGTGTCACTTCCTTGGCAGGTAGATGAGAATGTGTACATGTATAGGAAGGTATGTGTGTGTGTGTGAGTATGTGTGTTTGAGAATGTGTCCCTGTACATAGCTTATCATAAAACCCCAGCCCGGTGACACTGGAAGCAGGGGCGGAGGGCGACGGTCGACTTTTTCCAATTAGTCGACAGCCTGGGGGTGAGGAGAGAGTTACAACACACCAAGCTATAGTGACAAAGGCCCTTGTGTTTGCTCTGTCGCATTTTAACAGAACACTCGCATGAAAATGACCCCTGTAAATCCTATGAATACACACTCTGGGCTGTGTTTTTATAATAGGAGTTTAGAAATCTCAGGGCAGGGTGCGACATTGTGTAAGAGGAGAAGGAATGAGCACAGTGAGACAGTCAACCACAGACGGAGAGCTTCACTATTGTGTAAAGCAGCAGTGACTTGGCTGTGGTCAGGCTCACTCCCCTTGGCATGGAGGCACCGCTCTGCTGGCTTTGTCTCACACAGTCGTGTTGAAATATCCCTCATTGAGCGTCCACACAAACACATCATCAAAGGATTTAGATATTACACAACTAAAAATAGCAACGTACCTTTACCTTGTTTGTCTATTTACAACAAATGTATATTTTTTGGGAATATAGCCGGTGACAATTTAACGTGTGTGTATGTCTAACATTGCCAACTTAACAAACAAACGGTAATTAAAAATGCAAAAATGTCACAGGTTTGATACACAAGAGTGCTTGTTGAGGATGTTGGGTAAGTTAAAGTAATTGTTCTCCTGAGGCCACATATTCCATTTTTTCCACAATGTAAAATGTCAAAGTGTATTTCAGTCAGCCCTGCATTCAGCTCTGTAATGAGCCCGCGGTGTATCGTAAACTGCACACTAAATAGAACCACCCTGAACCAGCAAACCCTGAGAAAGTATTTAAAGGGACCATCATTAATACTTGTGCACACAACAGTTAGCAGATCAGACAATATCGCAACTGTTACAAGTGATCCTTTAGGACTCTCTGGTTCTCCCAGTACTGATCAGCAACGTCAGCGCAACAAAGGGCTGCTTGTTGCAAGCCGCCCCATTGGTCTTCTTCAGTATTTACACAAGGCATGTGATTTGCCAACTTGTGTTTGGATCTTAAAAAAAACGTGTTGTGGTTAAGCTCCTGCAACGCCCCCTCTCCCTCCCCCCTCACCCGAGAGACACAGTAGACGGTGGCGTCAAACTCCCGCTCAAGTTTTCACTCTGAAAAAACGATAGCTGACCAATACATGACTCATGGCATTTCCTCTCCCCCGAAAATACACCAAGATCTGAGTAAAAGGCCTGTTTTCTTGCATAACTCAAGTTTTTTGTTTGTTTTACTCCACAGGCATGTATATTGGTTTCACTCAGTAACTCTCAGAGTTCTGGTGTGTGGAACAGGTGGGAGGGAGTGCCGTATCACACGGCAATACAAACGTTGCCTCACCTGCAAGGTGGGGTCGATCAGCTTACAGCAGAATCAGGTTCGACCACATTTTCACTTCTCCCTTTCTCTCAGCCAGTCGCTCTGGTCTGCGCTCTATATCAGCCTCGTGTAGTTTCGCACAAGCACTTGTATTTGAAAGAGTCATTTAAATAGTGCAGGTCCATCTCTGCATGCACGGAGGGAGTTGTCTGTCGGCCCGGGTGAAGACGTTTGTCTCGTTTTTTTTGGGGCTTCTCGTAGTAGACGTAGATCTTGACAAGATTAGACAACTAAATCCCAACCCTGAATTGCGAAATTTCAAAGGGCTGACATTTTTTCCCATAGGGATCTGGGTGTGGCACGTTGAACGTTAAGCAACGCGATCAAGGTGTGGTGTCTGAAAGACTGTTGAACATGAATGGATGGCTGCTATATTTACTCTGGTTCCCATGGAGCGTGATAGTGCATTAAGGCCCAGGAAGCTTAAGTGTTACCATGGCAGGGGCATCAGTTAGTTCCCCATTTCAGCGCTGGCGATGATTAGCATTCCAGCTCTCTGAGTCCTCTTTGTCTACATATGAAAAAGGTTATTTTCCATGACAACCTCATTAAAACGCATTCATAATAGCTTGCACACGAAAAAAAAAAAAAGGAGAAGAAGATCCGTTTCATTTCTAGGAAAGAGGCCGGGGCGGTAGTGTCTGCGTGAAGCCTCATGACCCCCAGCAGAGTGAAGCCACACAAGTAGCCCTGCCACAAATTCAGGCAGGCTCTGCTGCCTTTCAATGTCACCGCAGTGGCAGGTAAGTCATATAGCGAAGCCTGTTATTATCCTGCTGGCTCATACCTGTGGCAGAGGCAGCCTTGACATGATACTGACCAGGTGCTCTGCCGAGCCTTTTGACTCAGGCTGCTGTTTGGTGTATCTGCATGTTTCCAAACTCACCATGAAGCAAACAAGTGACCTCAGTCTCCCAGTCCACACTTAGAGTATTTTTGTCTGTCTCTATCTATTTGCGTGTATCTGACGTCCCTGTACTCAAGTTCATATACGCGTATATCTTTATTATTATTATTTCTGTTTTAACAGGCGGCCTCTTTGAGATTGTGGTCTTTTTTTTTCTCAAGAGAGACCGGTGTACGAGAGTAAACACTATAGTTTAAAGGGACAGTTCACCCTCTTTACCTTTCATGTTATTTATCAGTCTCGATTGTTCTTATGTGAGTTGCCTAGTTTTGGAGATATCAGCCATACAGATGTCTTCCTTCTCTAGAGAAAATAAAGGAACTTTATGGCACTCGGCTTGTGGTGCTCAAAGCGCCAAAAGAATACATTTGAAAAACTCCAACAGCAATGTCTCGTTCCAGAAATCATGACCCGGTTACTCAAAATAATCCTCAGACCTGGTTGAGACCAGTTTCATAGTAGGAACTATTTTCTCTCCAGCCAACTACACCTGCCAACCGTGTCGCCGCGAAGAAGGAAGCGGGCCTCTGCTCATGAATGCGAGGCTCTGTGCTAGGTGAGCTAGCAGCATTAAGTATAGATGAAGGCCACCTTCTGTGATACGGTCGTCCAGTGTCGTTCATAAGAAAGAAAATAGTTCCTACAACAAGGTCTGTGGATTATCCTCAGTAACCGGGTCATGATTTCTGGAAAGAGACATTGCTGTTGAGTTTTAATTTTTTATTTGTTGGCGCTTTGATCACAACAAGCAGATATATAGTCCCTTAATATTGGAGACATCTCAACGGCAGATATCTCCAAAACTAGACAACTCGCACCAAAACAATTTACACTGATAAAAAGCACCACAGGTAAGAGGGAAAATATGTACTTTTGATTTTGGGGTCCCTTTAAGTATAGACACACCACACACATACACACGTTTCACAATAAGGAAAGCAACTACAAGTGCAATTACAAACACTTCATTTACACTTACATTGACATTCAAACTTCTTTCCACGCTTCCCTTTTAACCATCATTTTAGCAGCTATGTTTACTTTAACGTCACTTATTCCAGTATTTTGACATTTCCAATGTTTCAGCTGCAAGCTTTCAGCAGTGAGCAACATCTGTGTAGCTTTCTTAGTTTATTCAAGTATAATTGCTGAATACTGAACAGAAACAGTGAGTATTTATAACCTATCCACCCAAAAACCTTTACAACGGTTTTAAATATCAAACCACCTCGTAAAACTATAAAAAAAAAAGAGAAAAAGATCTAGTTAAACACTGTTTGGGTGTGCGCCTACTGCTGTGTGAATAACATACAAAGATGTCTCTTATTTGAGCCTGATGACACTGTGTGGCCTGGTTCTCTGAGGACACTTTTTACTCAGTGTGTCTGATACTTGAGGGGGAACTCATTAGATACGGTGATAGCGACGATGGCTCCGGCATTTGCACTCTGTCCTATTGATGCCACTGATTTGCCAGAGGAACAGCAATTTGCAATCAACGAGCTGTGTGTGACGAACAAGCAAATGTTATTATGCGTTATTATGTGGTGTGGTATGATTAGATTAAGTCTCAAGACAGAGCTGTTGGATGAAGATTGAGATTCAGCCTCAGACTAAACGCACCGCATGTGATCGGCTCAAACAGCAGATGACTTTGATTAGGATCATGAGGACCATATCATCAGTATCATCATATATCAGTGATGAGTAATACAGTTATGCACTTGCAGCAGTGTGAAATGTCTCCAACCCCTCCTCCCCTCTTTAAATTCCTCTCCCATTGCCTTCATTGCCTCCCTCCCTCCCCTCCCCTCCTTCTCGCTCACTCAAGCTATGACTTGCACTCATTTGCCCCCACCTCTCTCTCCCTCGCAGCCAACAACATTCCTTCATCCTGAAACTCCTTCCTCTGTAACAAAAGCGGGAAAAGAAGGAGGGCGGCGATCAGGAAGAAGCACAGCGCTTCGTGCCAGTTCGCCCGTTTTGTTTACACATGCAACGGCAACGCAGTGACTGTGATTAGGCCGGGGCTGCAAGTCTGTCGCCATGGCAGCATGCAAGGAATCGTTGTCAATAATGTGAAATATTATGGAAGTCCCCCCCCCCTGAAACTTCAGTGAGTCATGAGCTGGAGAAAATCACCACCACCAAACTGAGTGACAAAGACATGAGTAACCAAACACAAAAGGAAAATGTGTATATATATTTATATATATTGCCTGCCCGCAAAAGTTGTGGAAATAGTGTCTGGCTTGAGCCTTTGGATGTGTGGAGAGAGAGAGAGGGGGGGGGGGGGGGGGAGTAGAGTGGGAGGGAGGAAGAGAGGCTATGTGACCCAGCCAGCCAGAGGCTTGTCTGGGGTGTGGACTTAAAAAAGAGGGCTGGGTAAAAGTGGGCGGATGGGTAGCTCCTAGAGTTTGTGCATTTAGACTCTGAAATTATTGTCCTTGAGAACAGGAGGATTTAGACTTGAAGAGAGGCACAGCCGTCAAACAGTAAGTCAAAGACTCTCCTTGAATCCCTCTGTACGTCTTACTTCTCTATAGATGCTTCACGATGATAAAACGGTGGTATTTTAATAAGAGTTCTGCAGGTTTGTTTCAGTATTTTCTGGTTTTATAAAAAGAAAAAAGAAAAAATGCAGATGAGTAAAAGCAGGTGTGTGTGTGTGTGTGAGAGTGTGTGTGACCTCCTCTGTTCACCTTCACAGGCAACTTTGCTATTGAATTACGGCCCATCTTTGCGGGCCAGGTGTGGCTGCCTCCCAGATGTGTTTGGTTCCTGTAGCAGTGCTAAAGGGATTAGTTTGAATGTAAATAGTTATTTTTTAAAAGACATAGGATTGCTTTGCTGCTTGCTTTTTTTTGTGGGTGGGGTTTAGCATTCTCACACCTAGCCTCAGCCACACGTATTCAATTTGGCGTGATGGAAAATATGCCACAGCCAGGCCAGATGCAAGAATCCCAGCAGGAAAAGCTGACACGTCTTGTTTTTCGGGCGAAGAATCTGGAGGAAGTCGGATCAAAGTGGTCCACAATTAGGCCGGGGCTGCAAGTCTGTCACCATGGCAGCATGCAAGGAATCGTCAATAATGTGAAATGTATTAAAGCAACTGCCAAGCATTTAACTTTGCTTGTTATTTTTTCTTTTTTTGTCCGGAAGCTGTTCATTATCTGGCAGGAGACAACACACAATTCTGTATTTCAGCCCTCAGCAAACAAACGTTAAAAAAAACTCAAATCTTTCATTTCATTGTAGCCGTCTGAAGCAAACAGGCGTGCTTCACATATTGTACTAGCGTGCCTGCATGCTCGTGTGTGGTTGCGTGTGAGTGAGCTGGCAGGCATGCCAGTGTGTGTGTGTGTGTGTTTTTGGGACCCAGCCCTTGACCACTCCTTTTCCCGTGGAGGGAACCAGCACATTCCAGATGTTCCTCTTCCTCTGTTCACACCCAGTGCGGCCTCGGTGCTGGATGCGGCCGCGGATAGTTCACACACGAGTACGACTTGAAAACAACAAAGTGATCAGATGTGTGAAATCACAGGGCAGAGCCCCCTGAAGAGTGATCAGTGGAGTAGAACTAATACAGCTACACAGTAAAGAGGAGGGAAGTATTTTGAATAGTTTTTTAGCGGTTTATGGTGTGTTTGTAGCAGCGGGATTGGGCGTGGGCCAGCCAGGCTGCTGGGATTACAGGTATTCTCTCTACAGTTATTTTAAGGAGTGCCGGGGGTTCTTGGCAGCACAAGACAAGCCCAAACTCATCTGCCTGCCACAAACTTCCCTCCTAAACACGCACTTTCTCACTCACTTTCTCCTGACCAACAGTATCTCTTTTGCCCGCCTGATTTTGCGTCTCTCAGCACCTCTGATTATCGACCGGAACATTGTCTCGCTGTCTATTTGCAGGCGTTTCACTGGGAGTGCGTTAACTCTAACTCAAAGAAATTAGAAGTTGGGAAGCCACACCCTGGGTGGCAGGTTTTTGGGCCTTGCGTTGCTGCTCACGAGTGTGTGTGTGTGCGTATGTGTGTTGAGCTGTCATTAATGGCTCCCTCTGTGGAACCGGGCAGGAAGTGTGAAGTTTGTTATTGGCCACACTTGATTCTTTCTGCTCATAGGAGCTGCCAATCTGCTCTGTGTGCGTGTGTTGAGTATAAAAGTTGGAGTCAGCCCTCCAGTTATATTCATCCTCCATAATAAAAAGGCTGAAAGTGGTGTAACAAGTTTCCCCTCTCCCTCTCTCTCTCTCCAGCACCGTCAACATGCTGATTCTACTCGCTGCCATCTTCGTCCTTCACATCATAGGCATCATCCTCCTCCTGGTGGCCACCATTGACAATGTAAGTACACTTTTGTTCTGCCACACAGTGCGGCACTGCACAGACTCCCCGCGTAATCCCTGACTTCCTTCAAAATGGCGGGGCTGAAGAGTTATGTGCATCTCCCAGCATGCTGACAGGCAGCAAGAGAGTCGAGGCCTGTGAGTGATTGGCTGCTGGAGGCCCTCGTTCCTTCCTTCTGCGTCAATGGGCCACTGATCTTCACAGGGCCACATATTTGACACAGGGTGCAGGTGTTGTCTACATTTAAACTGTAGGCAAAGCGTCAATCAGGCGGCACACACACACACACACACACACACGTAAACATGCTAGATTCTTGCCTGTGTTGTAGTTAGCGTTGCACATACCGGAGTGAGACCTGAGGAATGCCACAGTAACAGCCGGATGTGCATTCCATCCCTTTTTGCCTGCACCTGCCCCCCTAAATACAAGTCAAAACACAGGGTGAACACACACACACACACTCCTGCTTTGACTTCTCCGCATTACTTCTCTGTCTCGCCTAGTATTGATTCATTCACTTCCCCTTAGCACGTGAGGAAGGTTGTCCGTATTTATGCCTGATTGTGAATGTAAAATGATCTCTTCCCCTCAGGCCTGGTGGATGACCGACACCATATCCACTGACGTGTGGTTCCGGTGGATGCTGCAACCAAACGGAGTGTGGAACACCACCGATCTGCCCCCACACTACCCAACGGGTAAGTCCGGCCCTGTGATGCAAAGAAGCGAAGTAAAGAGGGGACCTGTTTCCGTGGGCGCAACACTTTAACTCAGTCATATGTACTTCTCAGAAAAAAAAAAGAAAGTTTGTTTCATTGATTTCCTGCCACACCGTAAGACCTAGCATTCCCCGTGCTGCCTTTATTCTACACCAGTGGCTGAAACCACTGCATTTCATTAAAGCCCCTGAAACAGTGTTTCTCTAAATGTGAAATTGTCGTGCCCTTCATGGCCGCGATCAAAGCTAAGAAGATAGCTGTGTGGGTGCGGTTTGGTTTGATTGACGGCTATCATTAGGTTTTGAGTCAGACGTTGCTCAACCCTGATTGGCCCGTGGAAGCACGTGACGTCACCTTTTTTTTCTCTACACATTAAATACAAACCTTATTAAAGTGAAAAATAAGTGTACAAACAAATCTTGTAGAGAGCTATTTCTTCTTCAACATATGTAAATGAACTGGACACACACAATGGGTTTTTGCAGTTATCCAAATACATTTTTTTTTGCCTTGCAAATTACGACCATCAAAGGGCTCCTGTCATATAACACCAGAATATCCAAACTCATGTATGAGAATGTACAGTGAGGCGTTATTCCAACTGTGAACCTTCAAATCATACAGAGTTGTTTGTCTTCCCGCGGCGTCATAATCAGCAGATTTCTGTTTGTGTTGGACTGACTCACCAGATGTTATGATAACACAGTGTCACTGCAGCATTAATGTGTTCTGAGTGAGTCAGTATGATGTTTAGCACATATATAGGATAACCCCCCCCCCCTCTCATCACTCAGCATCTTCACTGTGTCACTCTCTCTCTCTGTCTCCCCCTGCAGAATACCTCCAGGCAGTGCAGGCCAGCTCAGTGCTAGCTTGTATATTCTCCATCCTGGGCATCTTCGTGTTTGTGGCTCAGCTCTTCACCCTCCCGAAAGGAGAGAGGTTCACCATCTCCGGCATCTTTCAGCTCCTTGCCTGTGAGTGTCTTTGCCCTGTTTGTTTTCTCTCTCTCTCTCTCTCTCTCTCTCTCTCTCTGCATCCTCATCCCTTCCCCATTCTCCGTGCCCTCACTGATGTGCCCTCGTCTCCTTCCCTCCAGGCCTGTGCATCATGATCGCAGCCTCCATCTACACAGACCGCTTCCACCTCGACGAGTCCGGTTGGTACGGTCACTGCTTCATCCTGGCGTGGATCTCCTTCGCCCTCACGTTCTTCTCCTCCATCACTTACTTTGTGCTACGCAAGAAGACAGCAGCATGAGACGGACACTAGAACACGCTCCAACCAGCCCAAAACCTCTGGCTGGATCTACTCTTCCAGCTGAAATCTGGTTTCTAGTCGCAGATGGTGTAAACATTGTTTATATTGTCCCGTTGTGGACATCAGATTTGAGCTGCTAGTGTATATTCAGCTACAGATAAAAGCCGACCTATTGACCCTCTCAAATACATACTGGTGTTTAATTGAGCCTGCTGTCAGATAGTCCGGGTTTCACACTTTGTGGGGTGTTTATTCTGCAGTAAAAGGCGAGTTCAATCAATCACGACGGGTATTTGAGTGCAGTTTCAACCCAGAGTTTGAGCTGGATTTCTAAGGCATCTACAGATTAATAATATTATTGTTGTTAACTGAACAAAGTTTGCCTTTCGATTTAAGATGCTATGATGAATTAAGATCCATCAATGTTTCTGGCTTTAACAAAGGCAGGTTGAAGAGTAAAATCTGTGGTCTTTGTTGTTGTTGTTGTTGTTGTTGTAATGTACATTTACGTATGGATATGAGTGTTGGATAAAAAGGGGCGAGTTTATGATTTTAGTTTATCATCTTTTTTCCCGTTATCTTATTGTTAGTTCATCAATTCTATTTCATTTATCTGCTCCGGTCTTATTTTAAATAATTAAACAGAGTCACTACAACGTGACCGGCAAAGTCTTAAAAAAAGATTTTTGCAGATATGCGTGGGAGACTATGTGACGATATAAAATGTAAAATCAGTATAAAACAAATAACACAGAAGCTTTTCTTTTGTAATTATTTGTGACTAAGAAGACATCACACTGGTTCATGTGTGGGGGTACACTACATTACTGTGTCGATACAAAGCATAAATATAGGTCAGAGTAATGAACCCCAAAGTTTCTGTTCCGGCCATTCCAAGCAACAGTATTTGAGTGAATCTGAGTTCCACTAGCCTAGTATGTTTGAAATGTACCTAAATCCACTAATCTAGTATCTTTATGACAGTTAATCCACAGATATACTGGTAATATGTGCTCTGTTTCCACGCAGTGTGACAGGAAGGCAAACTGCCTCGTAACTTAACGCGTGAGATATCATTTGTAAATATGTCTTGTTTCCCATAATGCTCTGTATGTCTAATGCTGTTGTATTTTTGCTACTGCTATTGCTTATTATGGACGACAATGACAATGATTTCTACGACTTCATTAAAACTTGATTTTCAACCAATTATTGAGGTTGTTTACTTTGTTATTTGCTACTTTGTTAGAATGATTGTGTTTCATTTGAGTCTTGCAGACAAAGAGCAGTGAGATGTTTCAAACAGCCAGTCTGAAGATCAAATTTATTAAAATGTTGTGCATTAGCCAAAACAAGATGTCTGTTTAAAATACCTGCTGATGCTCTCTATATACACAAGTAAAACTGGAAGATTGTTTCAAATGATACAGTTTATGGATCATTTCTTTACTGTAATCAGTTTCCAAAACAATGTTGTCCTCTGCATTTACTCTCTCTTTCATTATTAGAGCTGAGCGATAATGATCAAAGCTGATTCTCTGGGTCCCTGGACTGATAACCGTGTAAATTCAGAACTTTAAAAACATTGTACTGCATTGCCGAGACAGGTCACAGGTCCTCCAGTCATAGAAAACAGTCCATATAGTAGGTCAAAGTGGGCTGTAGTCCTCCTCCGGCCCGTAATGGCTCTCCTGGTGTCCTGGTAGCGTCAGGTGGACCGGCGATGGACACGGAGAGGGGAGGGAGAAGCGATGAAATGGGGATGCAGGCGCGGGGCGGGATGGGGGAGGAGAAGTATCGGAGCGAGGGAGCGGTAGCGAGTGGGAGTGCGCGAGCCTCGGCGAGGAGGCCGGCAAGGCTGCTGTAGGGGGCTCGTAGTAGGGAGACAAGTGGGAGATCCGGGGGGGAGACGGGGGACAGGCTAGGGCTATGGCTGGGTACGCAGGGGTGTAATAAGGTGGCAGGAGGCCCACGAAGTTAAAGCTGTAGGTGTTGAAGCTGTATCTGGGTCCCATCATCAGCACGTTCTCGGTGTAGTTGTTCAGAGTGGAGACGCCGGCTGACATGCAGACAGTGAAGGCAAACCAGGCCACACTGATGGAGACAGAGAGAAACAGGAAGCGCATCACAAGCGTGCCGTTGGCTCACCTGTGCAGAGGAGGTGTAACTGAGTACATACAGGGTCATTTCAGACTTTGACTAAAGGGAAGACACAATAACTTGGTAAATAACATGTTTTACTGATATCTGATTTATTGGGGGGGCAGTGGCCCCTTCCCCACTTTCTACTCCCTCGGGGGCAACTTTGCTCAGACCACGGTCATCATTTCGATCTCAGCTCCACACCTGTGGAGTTTTGTGACTGCATCTTGCACAGTTGTGACACTATCACGGTGACAACATCTGTCCACAGACTCAAGTTCTCAGAACCACTTCTGTGGTCGTTGCTGCTGCAGCAGGCGTCTCCAGGACCACATGTTGCCACGATGACACACACACACAGACTCACAAGGTGTACAACAATACCAGCCGCACGCTGCCACGCCCTGTAATTACAGAGTTACAAAATGGAACTGGTTATACGCAACCTATGAAAGTAGTTCCCTTTCTGCTTTCTTTTTTTTTTACAGACACAAAAACAAAAATGTCAGAGTTAATTCTGAGCATTTATGAATTTCAAACAAAAAAAAGACTTATTTCTTATTATCCTATTATTTACTACTGCTGGTAGACACTCCAGCAGGCTTTTATATAACTTGGAGATACAGTTCAAATGTTTGTTCTTACTGTAAAGTTGAGTTTTTGCAGAGAGCCTCTGTTTGCCTGAAACATGGGACGGACTTTTAAAAAATCTGAATAAATGTGTGGATGCTATGAGACATAGAAATAATAATAATAATATGCTCTAATTCCTTTGTCATACCAAGTTCTAAATGAATCCTCACTGAGGCAGAGAGGAAGACACGTTTAATGATTGTTCAAACATGTTCACACGCAAACTGTTTGTGCTGGTAAGGCACCTCGGACCAGCTTGACCGTGAGCTTTTAATCACGCCTTCTGAGGCCATGTTCTTGTAACACCGAGTAGAGGAAAAAAGGCTGAGCTGTCGACTGTTAGAATGATGCCTTCAGGGTCTGTTCGGCATGCACGGTTTCACGAAATTTCAGCAGAAGCTGCGGTTGTCAAATTGGTATTGGGACTGTGCGGCTACAAAGAATGGACAGGAGAACACCCTGATACAAAGCACGCTGTAAGGGACGACATCATACATGGTCCCACATGAAGAGTCGAAGAAATGCTGATGTCTGGAAAATGAGTAACAGCAGAGCCTGGTCCAGAGGGGCCGCACGTAGAGAAACACTTAGTTTCAAGTCATCGAGGACTCAACAGGAAGACAGGAAAACTTTCTGCCATACCAACGGAAATGTCCACAACCGAAACACTCAGTAGTACACTACGGTCCAAGATTTGAAAGGGAACAGCTAAGTGAACCGAGGATCCCAGTGTGCCTGGATCCTTGCGACTCAGCGCAGTTTCAATCAGGCCTCATGTGATTTTAGTGCAGTGTGTTTTATGAACTCACTAGAACGCCCAGGAGTAGCCATAGCTGTGAGGCTTGAAGTCTTCTGGTCCCATTGAGGCCGTGGTCTGAAACACCTGCATGAACATCATGTGACCCACCATCCCAAGCAGACCTGCGAAGACAAGAGGGAGGAAACATACCAGATTGGTTCCGTAATTTAAAAAGGGAAACTAGTAATACTGGTCGTTCTGTGTTCAATCCATACAGTACCTCCCAGGACTGTAAAGATGGCAGCGAAAGCGTTGAGCAGCTGGCCCCAGCGTTGCGTGGAGGGGCACCAGGCCCTGATGCACAACTGCACAGACAGCAGTGTGCAGCTGATTACCAGCAGACCCACATACAGGATCTCCAACGACAGAGACAGCCACATCATTGCTGCAGAGGGAGGAGGAGGAGAAGATGCTGAGCACAAACACAGGGGAAGGTTTGGATTTCAAACATCCAGTCGACCGAGAGCGTAAGCGCCCCACGGAAAACGCACGAGAATGTGAGGAATCCGTTTACCTTTTTCAGATCCTGGAGTCAACGTATGAAACCCTCGACACTTCTCGTCTGTGGGAATCAAAAGACAAAACGCAAATAATTTAATAATTTATTTAACAATAAATCTGCTTTTATACCAACAGGAAAAGAGGATATTTGCACTGGAAAGCTTTTAGTAAACAATATTTCACTGCAGCCACCACTGTTTCCAAGAGAAACTGAGCTCAAACCACCTTCAGCCTGTGCATACCGTACATTTAAATTAACATTGCAATCTAATTACTGTGTGAATAACCAGATTGAGGCAAAAGTGTTTACATGGCCTGAGGTAACCGGATGGGAGATTACGAGATTTGTTTGGTAATAATCGGGAAGGATGGGGCCCACGGGAAAAATCCTAGTAGCACCACAAAATGAGACTTCGTCGTTGTGTCTCGTCTTTCATTTCACTTATTGACTTCAACATGAACGTATTTGGTTTTCACCAGCTCTGAAATGGCTTCTTTCCACCACTGCAAAGCTACTAAAAGAGAAGGAAAGAATAGAAGCAACCTTGTGGTGTAGTCGGTTAAGCTTCTTTGTGGCTTGACATTACAGCTGCAATAATCAGAGTACCGTATGTGGCTCTACACTACGGTGGCCCTGAAAGTTAACCACACGAGAAAACAGATGCAAACGGACAAAGCACGAGGAAATTATAGAAAAAACAAAAAAACACTGTAAAGTGAGAAAACACGACAAACGTTTTCCTCATTTGCTTGCGTTTTGTCTAATTCCGCTGTATTTGCAGTGGGGGTTTGCAGTGCATGTGTTGTCAAAGTGGTCAGATTGAGGTAACAGTTTGCATAATGTTTAAAAGCTTTGACTAAACGGATAAGAGATTATAGGATTTGTGTTGTATAAATCTGGAGGGGTGGGGCTTACAGGAAAACTCTCAGTAGCAGCACAAAATGACACTTGGTCAGTGTGTCGACTGTAGTTTTTAATTTGAGTGATTTTTTTCATTTTCAACATAAAAGCTTTTTGTTTTCATCCCCAAAACGAGATTTTTTTCCCTCCACTGTAATGACATAAATAGAAGCACCCCGTTTCTGCAGCCGGTTAAGCTTCTTTGTGGCTTATTTACCAAATGTGTTTACATGCAACTGCAATAAGGTATTTGGCCCTAAATTACAGTGGCCCGTAAGATCAACAAACTGTGACTTAGAAAACAGATGCAAACAGACAAAGCACCAAGAAAACCACTTTCTTCACTTGCTTAGATTTGACCTATTTGCATTGTATCTGATGGTGTTTTAAGTCTTTGCAGCATATTCCTACATGTGTTGCCTTTGTTTTGTCTACTTGCAGTGGATTGAAAGCTCAGGGCCACCGTACTTGATAAATCATTAGCATTCATTCACATGTTTAGAGCTTGTGTGAAATATTTATTAGTCTGAAACAGGAGTGTCACTTAATATTAATATTAATATTTGGCTCCTTGGGGGCAACAGAATCACCTTTCACATTGATGTAGCTAACATTAGCATACAGTTGCCTGCTATATTAACATATCCAGCAGACATGTGGCAACATATCAATCATTTGCTGTCATGTGTCTGTCCACCTGGTGCATGCAAGTCCAATATTGACTCTCCTTTTAGCTCTGTTTTTGGTCTCCACCGGCTGCGGTTGGAGATATCTGGATCTTTAGCTGCTATGTTTATGTTAGGGAGTCACCAACTTTATCTGTTGGCTGTTTGACCCTTTGATTATATTTGTGACTTTCTCAGCTGATTTTATTTAAAAACAAGAGTCTTACAGGTTCCCAAAAGGCAGGCAGATACCGCTGGCAGATCACAAGCAAACAAAACTCCATGTAGCAACGAAGACGAACTGACAAAGGAACCGAAGCGTTGTAAATAGAGACGGACTAATTGGGGACGTGAGAAGAGGTGAGTGCAGGACTAATGAGGGACAGGTGAAACTGATCAGGGCGGGGCAGGCAATCAAAAAGGCGGGAAAACACACAAAGACAGGAAGTAAAACCAAACATGAGGCGTGAACTTAGGAAATAAAACAGGGAACGGACGAAGCACAAACCCAGGAACATGACAGGAACTCTACATCAGTGATTCTAAAAGTGAGGTCTGTGGCACGCTATGAAATATACAGTTGGAGTTTGGTTCTATTGAGAACAGGAGACCAAAAGGTTTCATGTGTCTTCCATGCTGGCAGACGTAGCCTATGAAGCCAGCCGACATGAAGCAACATCTGACAACAAAGCACCCGGAATAACGCGGCAAAAAACAAGTGGTATAAACATCATTTAAATTGAAATGTATTTCTGTTTATCACTTTAAAAAACAGGTCTGAAGTACTTTGGTTGAAAGAAAATAGAATACAAATAGTTCCAATCCCGTGGTGTTAAGTGTGGACTGATTTATATAATTGACCACATCAGTCAGTTGTATATTTTAGCTGAACTTGAGTATCATTCAGAATCAGAATCACCTTCGTGCACATGTGAACTAATTTAACTTTTTGTTGCATCTCTCTATGTGCTTACACAGAATTAGAAATAACAGCTAGGGACTGGGACAAGGGACGAGGACTAGAATACACAGGACGAAAAAATAAGTTTATATATATAGATACTATATAATAGATGTATAAAATCAGCAATGACAGAGCTTAATCTTTAAAATCAGTTGCAAATGAGACGGTGAAACCCCAGCCGATGTTTGTGGATCCTATTAACCTTTCCCTCTCTGGATTTCTAATCCATAATTGAGTCATGCTGTTAAAGTCTAAATCTCTGTGAGCAGAACACACACTGATGATAATCCTCTTTGGGCTGAGCCCGTACCCAAACACACACACACACACTCACTCACTCAGACGCACGCGCGCGTGCACAAATACAAATTAACACACCCGAGGCCTCACTTCATCCCACCACCTTGGATTGCTTCTCCTCCTGTGACCTACTTCATTGTCTGTCCCACTAGTGCCACAGTGAGTTTGTTTCACTTCCTGCTTCTGTGCTAATCCTCATCTCACTTTGGGAATGTCCTGTACTACACACTACCCAATCAGCACATATGGCCAGGGATACGCTTATGAAATCCCGTGCATTGATACCGATTGTTTACTGGAAGCATGGCCACATGTATAACTGAGGTTTGTCAGTGCTTTCTTCTTACAAATCCTGTGTTCTCTCAATTATAAATTTCCTCTGCCTGCCTAATCCTTTTCAGGGTCACTAGTGGCACATCTGGGCTTTTTTTTTTCCATTTGAAAGAAATTTAGCTACATTAGCTTTTGCCTTTCCTTTGTGATCCCATTGTCAGACACATTTCCTCCTTTTAGCCATGACCTAACAGTCCTACAGCAATCCACATGTTCCAAATCGGTGTCATATTTTTTACCCATCTTCCTCTCTTACCCGCCGAGTCTGCGTAGATGTCCTCCTCGCAGATGAGGAACAGGCCTGTGTGAAAGACGGGGAAGACAAAGCGGTCGTCCCCGGTCTCCCAGGAGAACTGGATGTTGGTGGAGTTGGAGACGCCGGGAACGGGGATGCAGTTGCTGTGCTTGATGGGCGAACAGAGGGGCTTGGGCACCTTCTGTTGACCTGTGCACCAGTGGGAAGACATGAGGGCAATGCCACCAGTGAAGAGAGACACGACGGTCTGGATGAAGGAGAGGCGAGGGGAGCGCATCTGCTGCAGGAACTCCATGGTGCAGGGATTAAATGAGGGCTGGGTGGGAGGAACAGTAGGGATGGAGAGATGGTCAAATATCCAAAAACACATTCAAAGCATAGCCAGGGATAACTGAATAGAAGTTTTTCATTGTTAAATCAACTTGACTTTAGGTACACCTCCACTCTTGCATGTCACTAAAAATATCCCCAGCATGTTCCTAGTTTCCAAGGAGAAGCAGCTCTGTGCCCGAAGCCGCTTCGCGAGGTGTTTGAAAGGGAAGGTGCGGGGGAGCCGGCGCTTTTACATGACTAATCACATTAAGAATAAAAAAAGACTGTGACAGAAAATCAGCACACTTCCGGTAATTGGCGGGAAGACAGACGGCTGAATCAAGAGGAAAAATAGGTGAAAATTGCTGTCACCATGGAAGCCCTCCAGGAGATGGCTGCTCAAACAGAATAGCTCTGTGCACTCGACATCAAGCAGTGAATTAAATGTGAACAAAGGAGAGAAGAAAGAAAGAAAGAAAAAAGCACTCACCTATATTTCAGCCTCTTTTACTTCGTACTTTGTCCTCAGTTCCCTCATCGAGTTAAGCGTGGAAGTGGAAAGGAACATCCGGCCCCGGCTCTTCTACCCGCCTGCTCTCCCTTTCACTCTTCATCAGATAGTGAGACGATTCAAGCCGACCTCTGTGAGCAGAGTGACTGTCAGTCTTTATGATACGACCCCAGCAGTCAGTCAGACACACACACACACACACACACACACATCCTCCTCTTCTTTAATCCATCCGAATAAATTCAAACCAGACAACTCTGCTCCATCTGTTTTCATTATGATTCCGAGACTCATTTTTGTTCTATATTTCATTCATTTTACCAAACGCTATCCTGTGAAAACATGCAGCACATTTTTTCATGTGAAAATCAACGTGACCTTGTAATAAATAAATATGTCAGATGCACACGATGATAACTTGGATAATATCGCTTTGCAAGTACCACACGTGGAGACCGATATTCAATGACAACTATTTGACTCTGAGAGGTGGTGACTCCACAAGAGGGGGCTCTAAGTGTGAGTAGTTTAATATCTGCAGTCAACCGCAATCACTTCACTGCAAGGCTTTTATGTTGCTGTCAGAGGATGACTCACTTTCTAAAAAAAAAAAAAAGACCACACAATTCCATCTTCTTCCTTCCAGACGGAGGTATAGAGTCCCAGGGTGTAGAACACAGCGGTGTAAAAACAGCTTTGTTCCAGCAGTCATCACTCAGGTGAACACGTTATAGCAACAGTGCACAGATGCTATAGAAGCAACGTCTGTGTACTTATTTATTTTATTTAGTGATTTACTGATTTGTAACCTTGTGTACTTTTATCATGTTTGTCTTGTCTGTGTTGATTGTAATGTGTGTCGAGATGGACGCCTCGCCTTCTACTGCAAACCAAGTCTATACGGGTACAAAGTAACCTGAAGCTGAGCCACACACTAAACTGGTTGCTGTTTAACACGGTTCATTATATGAATTTGTATATTGTTATATACATTTTTGTCCATATCATTGAATTGTACATTTTTATGTCGGTTTGGTCAAGTTTACATTTGTTTAGCAACCTGTTACTTTGAGGAGCTGAACCTTTCAACCACGTATCCATTCATTTTGGCTCACTATTTAAACTCTCTTACTTTTAGGTATTTCACTAGTTCCCCATTAGTTTCAGCTATTTAACCATTTATCCATTACTTTTAACTATTTCAATTGTTTATCAATTACTGTTAACTAGTTTAATTGTTTATCCTTTACTGTTAGCAAACTATTTCAACCATGTTATTCTTTTAATGAAATTGTCTTCTCTTACCATAGTGCCACTTATGACAAAGAAAACCTCAGCTAATGCACAAATCAACAGCCGATCATATAAATGTTTAAAATGTCTGCTTTCACCTTTCATGGCTTTTGCATTTTAACACCTATTTCAACTTTTAACAAAGCTAAATCAGACATTTTGTTTTTTTTTATCTTTACATCAAAGCTGCTCTAGTTTCTTAAAGTCTAATTCTTCATCGTATGGCACTTTGTTTCAGAAACAGAACTGAACTGGTAGACCGGTTTCCAGACTCAAGAACATGCCTTCATAACTCTTCTTCAGAGAGGGTTTATGCACCTCCCTCAAACTGAAAAGGCAGGAAGGAGAAACGAGGGAGAGGGACAGACATCGAGACGGAGACAGCTTACGTACATATGAGCCACAGGGAGATGATTGAGAATACATGTGCAGGAGATAAAGAGAGAGAGGGAGGCAGAGAATTTAGAAAAGGTGGGAAAGAAATCGGGGCAAAAAAATGAAACAAAATTGACAAAAATAAGTTTCAGAAACAGTTAGAGGAGCTTACTTGAAGCATTTTTTTAAGTGTATTCATAATTCATATACATATTGACAGGTCTCTAATACAGCATGGTTTTGATAGTGTCACTGTCTTCTTCTCAGCTTGACTTTTTTATCTTTTTTTTTTTACAAGAATAACAATAAAAAATGATAAAGACAACACCATGTACGACTCACTTTTAAATTTTATGGCAATGCTTCTTGTGAATGGATTTTGTCGCTCGAGAGTGAAACCATTCAGAAGTACTCAGTAAGGCTTACTCCCCCATTGGCCAGTACGGTTGGCCAATCGCAGCCGTTCAATATGACACCTTCTCCAAAGTTTCCAGTTCCCCAAAAAAAAAATGTTTTTCCATCAGTGTACGGTGGCGTGCCAGTCCTGCGGAACATCCCATGAAGAACGAGCGCACGTGTGCACCCAGTACACAGTTCCCCCGTCAGTGTCCTGTTCATCTTTGTGCTGTCAGCACAGTCAAAGATGGCAGGCACGCATTAGTCCATAGTGTTATCCCCTCCTCTGTCCCTCTCTTTACACATAACGAACATTTTGTACTTGAAAAATAAGATTGTGTCCATCGGATTTTTTTCGTGAATACTATCTGTACCGTAAAAACCCCAGTGATGAAAAATAAGACCACTTTTCAAAAGGACCAAAAATGGAATCAAAGACCCAGATATCGGCGGTTTTTTTTCAGTTTCTCTCACTCTCTCTCTCGCACATACACACACACACACACACACACATTTCACACTCGTACACATGACTTTTGAAAGGCAACAGATGTCCGTTCTCCAAGGCAATAATGTCTTTGTGGCAAACTCGACCCTGACATTCCAGACATCACTCTGGCTCCTCCCTCTCCAGGAATGAAAAAATAAATCCAAATCATGTGTTGACAGAATATAAAGTGAGATACATCCATTTCATTTTCATGAGTAAATACTGACGAGGATACAAAATAATAATGAGTACTAAAAATAATAATTGTGGTCATCGTAATATAAGATAGAATACTACTTGTGAGAGGGTATAAAAGTCTCTCTTTGTTTCTTTTCTGGGTTTGACGCCCAACTTGCTCCCAAAACGCCTCTGCATAGCAACCAAAAGAACACTTAAAGAAAATGGATAATGATTATACAGATGATGATAAACACGAGTGTAACACTTTGAGGGTGTCTGAGGAAAATCAAAGTAAGCCTAGAGAGGAAGTTTGTTTCTTTTGTTCTCTACAAAACAAGTTCCTTTAGTTCCACCGTCCGTCTTTTACTTGTAGCTCCATTCCGCTCTGTTGCATGTTCATGTTTTTTTCTTTTCTTCTTTTTCTGCTTTTAAGTCAAGAGCAACAATTCTCTTAAAAAAAAAAAAAAAGAAAAGGTTTCTTTTCTCCATTGTCTTACATGTAAATAACGCCCGTTGAGAAATTGTACATTCCCTTTTGTTGTTCTCCGTCACGGATGCCAGTCCTGTCTTTTCACATTTCGGGCTGCTTCACAAACAAGTCCCACTCCTCAGTCTTCTATTGACCAAACGAACCTGGCAAAGGGAACACAAACAAACTGAGCTCAGTATGATCAACAAGGACCCGCGCATTCTGATACAAACAATGAACCGCTTTCACCAACAGCACAATTTCTTTAAATGGAGAGGACCTCTTTTAAAAGTCTCTTGAAGTGCACCGTTAGGCCGGTAATCACCGGTTGTGTTGTTATTACCACACAGTCCTTTACTGATTATCTGAAGCACCATTATTTAAATGTGTAAGTTGAAGCATAAAACATAAATCTCTTTCATTTTTAGTCCACTGATTTTCTGACAAGAAAATATATTTGCACAAAACGTGATGAAGTAAGGGGGAAGAGTCGCTCAATCCTGAGCATAACCATTAGCAATTTACTGTAGTCTTACAAGAAGAGAAAGAGAAGGGGAGATGTACGCATCTTTAGTTTCCATGAGGCTGATTGGGAGTGAGGGGGAGGGAGTGAGAGGGAGTGACAGGCAGCAGTGCAGCCACTAAGGTGAGGTGAGGAGGAGTGGGAGAGCCAGCCAACAAAGAGTAGAGCAGGTACTGCATTGCTGTGTGAAATTAAATTGTCTGAATAGAAAAGGTATAAACAGCCCTGAGGCAATAAATTGGAGCCCATTCACTGAAGGTCCATTAATGAGAAACCAGTCTCCAGACAAATGATGTTTCCAGGATGAAAATGTATTTGTGGTGATTGAACGCGCCGGGCGGTGATGTGGGGGTTTTATACCAGAGAGCTGGCTGCATTACATTACATGTTAACACCCATTTAGGGAAGCTGCGTTTTCCAGTCTACACGACTCTATCTGGATTAGGGTTGGGCAACGTAGAAATTCCTCTTCTGACGATATTGTTTTTAAGAAACACAACGATGTAGAAAATAAAAAAGCTGAAGAGAGAGAGAGAGAGAGAGAGAGAGAGAGAGAGAGAGAGAGAGAGAGGCGCACTTAGGCTGGATATAAATACACACACAAAGTGGCCACAATGTATAGGAAGTAAGCGCTATTTTACACAAGGGCACGCTGAGATCAATCATCTAGTAGTAACTGCTCTTTATATTCTGCTGCCTCGATGATTGAGGGTGGATTGCTCACTGTGACGGTTCGGTTGCTATTTGTGGATGGAGTCACTGGCAGACCTGCGTATTCAGTTTGACACAAAGTGAGTGATGCGACACTGTGTTCTAGTCCCTGTAATCATCTTAGTCCAGAAGTCATAATATAATGAAAAAAAAGATGTAATCTTTTCCAAATGTTCATCCAACAAAATATTCAGCTTCAATCCATATTTGTTGGCTTTTAGCTACATTTTCACTGCTGTCCACAACAGTTTAATCTCCTGCACGCACCATAATAACGGGGTGGTCGAGCAGCAATCTAACAGCGCCATAAATTACATTCATAAAACCACAATAAAACTAAATCTGAAATATGCCAGCATGTTGTCAATGTATTTATTATTTAAGAGAAAAAGACTGAATATAGTGCAAAAGCAGGCGTTGCATAAGTGATTATCGCTCCGTTATCGTGGACATGCGAGGACCATTATCGTGGCCAACCAATATTGTGTTGAATGATGAGCTCGTCATATCGCCCAAGACTCGTATGGATGCACATGAGGGCACGCAAGCATTTCCATTCCATTTTATGAAAGCAAGAAATAATAATAATAAAGGCTCCAATGACTCGATGATCTTTGGCTCAGCATTGTCTTTAGAGGAGCTGACATTTTAATGTCTTGTGTTGTAAATGTCTTCCCTTTCACTTCATTTTCTGTTGGCTTTGCTGAAGTTTATTGTTGCAGTTTGATCATTTTGATTTTGCCTGCTCTCTAAATTTGCTCTGAGAGCGACACAACTGGACACACAGACACACACCCTGGCCCGGATGTCCTGTCTGATCAGCCCCATTAGTCAATATTTGGCACCAGAGCTTCCTTTTGCCGCACCCTATGTTAAATTAACATGTTAATTTAGACCTTAAATTAACCTAGACCGAGATAGGTAACCAGTCCAAATTATTCTGGGTGGTTAATCGTTTACATCCCTAATTCACACTATGACACATGCTGTAGACACATAGGTACACAAACACACAAAACCAAGTCTAAACTTACAGCTCCCAGACTCCGGTGTCTCTTCTTCTTCTGCATTTCTCTCAGCCTCTCTCTGACTGCTCCACGCACACTGACTTGGCTGGCCGGATGCTCTGGGTAAACTGAGTGGAGGAGGGAGGAGGAGGGGAGAGAGAAAGAGAGAGGAAGACAGACAGAAAGAAAACTGTTAGGGTTCGATGACGAGACGTGCGAGTGGGTGGTGAGGATCTAGAATGGCAAAGGAAAATGAGAGTGAATCACACAAAACGAAGACCAACCTCTCCTTCTTTACCTTGTGCTTCGGACACCGCACTGAGAAGTTATCTTCGTTCAGAGAGCAATCTGGAAGAGGGACAGGGAGTTTTAGTACAATACAGAAACCACCACGCAAAGCTCTTACATGAAAGGACAATATGTGTTTCAAACAGGCACAAACCCTTATTAGGAAACTGTATTTAACATTAACTCACTTTCTAGAGTGTGTCTGTATTTATTGCATCCACTCACCTGCTTCGATAGCACACATGTAGTGGTAGCGGAGTGTACAGCCTTTGCTGTAGCAGCCCAGGGTGGAGCCAACCATCTCACAGTATGAGCAGCACTGAGCAGAGACAGAAAGAAAAGGTAACAATCAACATCAGAAATATGTTTCAAGGCTGAAAATTCCCAAAACAAACACAGATAAAGAAGACACTTACTGTTTCTCTGGCGCCATCTAGTGCCTCCTGCATGCCATACAGTCTCCCATTGACAAGATACACCCCACTGGTCCACACTATGCATCCTTCATGGACCCACAGCTCCTCCGGGTCCATGGGCATCTGAGGCAGCTGGGCGAGTTGTGCCAAGGGTCCCAGGGAGTCCAAGGCGGGCGGAGGGGGCTGGAAGGGCAGGGAGGCCTTACTGTTGGAGGGCACCATTCTGGGGGAATCCTCACTGGATTTGTGCCTCCTCTTAAAGCGGGGGTGTGAAGTCAGCTTTCTGTGTTGAGGTCGTTGCTGAGCTTCGTCTGTCGGCTGCTGCTGCAGCAGCTGCTGCTGGATTTGCGGCTGCTGCTGCTGCTTGTCTGTATCAAGGTCTGGCTCTCTCTTAAGCTTCGGGATGGGCCGGATGTCTAGATTCATGTCCCAGGTCAGAGACGTTGTTTTACTGGTGTAGGAGGAGAAAGACGAAGACGAGGAGGACGAGGAAGAGGAGGAGGCGGTGTTACTGAACTTGCCAGTCATGTGCATCATCATTTCCTCTCCACCAGCCGTCGGGGCAGTTCTGACTCTAGCGGGGAGAGGCACTGCATTTGAATCCAGGCTGATGGCATAGTGACTCTCAGTTGGGGGCTTGGTAAACTGAGCATCTTGTGTTTGCGCGTCTTGGTTGGTGCTCAAAGCATTTGAGCTCACGTCTGAGTTTTGTCCTGTTTTGTTTGTGCCCGTGGCCGCTTGACATTGTCGGACCTGGGGCTGGTTCTTGGGGAGCTTTGCAGCATATTCAGCTGGATAGAAAGGGCCGTAGAGATCTCCAAGATGTTTGTAATTTGCCCATTTCTGACACAGGCAGCAGAGCAGGCGGCCGGAGTGATTGGTCTCTGTAATCACGGGGCCTGAAACAATATAGCCAGATGAAGGAAGTGCTTTTCCCGACTCAAGTGTTGTCTCCACCTCGTCTGTCTCCCTTTTCTCCGATTCTCTGTCTCTCCTAGATAACTGGGAGGAAGGAACCGAGGTCAGGGGAGAATCAATCCCACTCACGCCCACTTTCCCTCCGACTGCACTACGATCTCCTTTCATCTTCTCCTCCTCAGCATTTACAATGGTGCACACTGCCCCAATCTCTGGTATTTTGTTCTCCACGTGTATGTGCGGAACAAACAGGCCCTTTATATTTGGGTCTGTGAACACTCTATTGGTGCCAGGGCTCCCTCCTCCCCCTAAAGGTATATCTGGGTCAACTTTGGCCACCGACGGTGCCGTCGGCCCTGCTCCTCTCCTTCTCCTCCTCTGTTGTCCTCTGGCCTCTAGTGACTCATCCTCACCTTTTCCACCTCTGCGTCTCCTTCGCACTGGTTTGACCTCGATCTCTGGCTGCAGGTCCTCATTCTCAACATCCACTTTCACTATCTGGGTTAAAATGGGTGGGGTCAGTGGGAGAGTGTTTTTATCGTCGGTCAGCAGGGGTGCTTCAGGGGGTGGTGTGCTGCACGTAGTCTGCTCCAGCGGTGGGGATGTCTCATCAGCTGAAGTTGGCTCGGGTGGGGCTGATAGAGCACTCTCAGTTGTGCCCTGAGCCTGTTCTTGGGGCTGACCCGGCTCCTGTGTTTGGGCTTGGTTCTGGGCCCTTTTTTGTTTATTCACACTCCCTACGGGCCTCCCCTTCTTCTTGCCAGATGGGAAATAGCCTTTAGGCACGGAACTGTCTTGTAGCTTGGAATCTTGTGGCGACAGGCTGCCAGAGGACATTGGATGTTGCCTATTCAGCATGTTTCCTTGAGAGTGGGGTGGGGTGGCTCCATAGTAGTCACTGCCCGGATAATCATCAAATCCCATGTCAGATTCTTGAAGTTTCTGTCGAAGGAGGTTAGCCGCAGAGTGCTCCCCTCTTCTCGTCTCAAGCTGCTGGTAAGTGTTGGTGAAATGCTGAATGTCTGACAGGGCAGATGAAGATGGAGGTGGGGAACCCTGGACTGGGCGAGGAAGAGGTGGAGGAGGGGGTAAAGGTCCGAGCAAAGCAAAATCCTCCTTGTCACCCGATGCCGATGAAACAGTGGATCCCAATCCAAAGTCAAAGTCTTGTTTTAGGGTTTGGGATGTCTGATGTGGATCACATGGGTAGGCAGACGGGGGTAAAGGCCCGGTCTCATCAACTCCTCTGAAGGAAATCATGTCGTTTAATGAATGACTGTCATCCATGTAGATATCATCCCCTCCTGCAACCCTTGGGAAATGTGCCAAGTCTTGGTCCTGTGAATCATTAAACGGTGGCATTTCTGAGTGAGAGAAGCCTGGATAATGATTCGACTCATCATCAACATGGCCTGCTGGCTTTTTAATATTTGGTGTGATTTTCTGCACTATTGCCTCCAGTTTCAAACCTCGGCCTTTCCTGGGAGGCATAGCCCTGGCATTACCACTTGATGGAGATAGAGGTTGTGAATAGGTATTCTCTCCAGGCAGAGGGGAAGAGAGCCTGGGACATGGGATATCTGAACTGGATGAGTCATCTTCATTGTGATGACTCGACTCAGACTGAGCCCCGGGGGAGTGATGTGAATTTGTGGCAGCTCTCTGCTGAGACGCATCCTGGAGTTGCCTTTTGGCGGGAATAGGAGAGATGAAAGAACGAACTCTCCTTCGCAATATCAGCGGGTTTGTGTCTCCAGAACCCCCGGCTTTAGTCTGACGCTGCACCTGTGGCTGTGTGGAGTTCATGTCAGCAGAAGGCTTGGCGGAGCCGGGTGGAGGAGGTGGGCAGGGATGTTTGCCTTCCTCTGCGGCTCCTCTGGGGACCTCAGGTTCGGCGGCATTTAGGCCGTGAGTCATTTGTGGTGGAATGGGGACGTGCGAGTCTACAGGAGCAGGAGGAGGGGGGGGAGGAGGTTGTGTTCTGTAGAAGGAGTCTCCCTCCATCATTCTAGCACCTTCTCTGCCAGAGTGTGTCGACTCCCACATTTTCAAATCGAAGAAAGCGCTTTGATGATGGAGGGAGGTTTTGGCTGCGTGTAGTTCCCCGGGCATGTCAGTTTGTGAGACCATCCTCTGCCTCGGTTCTGTTTGGCTGACCTTATGTCTTCCTGGAGAAGAACCAGGGAGCATCATCATCTCCTTTGATGGCCTGTTCATTGCTTTTACCCATTCATTCATGTCATGGGGGTGATGAGGGGGGCCACGAGGGTGAGGGTACATTTGAAGCTTATTTGTGGACTGCGCCTGGGGGGATAAATTGTGGTACGGATGGTGGGAGGTAAAATGGGGGTTACTGCGTGGCATCATATGCCCTTCTCTTGCATCTCCAAATCGATAACCAGGAAAACTGCTGCCACTACCCGTTGATAAATCAACACCATGAAGATAGGACTGATGCCTTGAAGGTGGAGATAAAGGGTTAGTGCTCAAAGAATGAGAAGCCAGGGGTGTAATGTCAACATTACCTCGACGGTAGGGGTCCGTATTCATCACAACAGATGAATGAGCAGACTTGGAATGATACTCCATATCAGCATCGTTAGTGCAACCACTGCCGAGATGATCAGTCTGTAACGTGTCTAAGACAGCCTCTTTTGATGCCGTTTCCATTTTCACCACTTGTTTCTCTCCAATATCCTTTTTACTCAGATCACTGGCTGCTGCTGGAGAGGAAAATGGCTGTTGAATCACAGAGGCTCCACTCAGACTTTTCTCCCGCTCTCTCTCTCTGTCACTTTCCCGGTCCCTCTCTGGGGTGCCGCGTCGGTTCGGCGACACATCACAGATGACAGAGCGCCGCTCTGATGGGGCTAATATGGAGCCTGATGATTTCTGAGACTCAGTTTGACCAATGCTGCCCGTTAGTGGCTCTGGCTCTTGCAAAAGGAGCTCCTGCACAGCGGAGGGTGGAGTGGACACATTTGATAAGGCTTTTCTCTGTGGTAGAGAATAGTCAGCTAAGTTTATATGTTTGGTTGGGGGTTGCTGGGACTCTGCCGCCTGTGTTGAATGGCTCTGGGACACGCCCATGTCATTTTTCTCAGCATTTTGCATTATCTTAGTAATAGACACTTCAGACTTCACTGAGGACTGAGCATCTGTGGTAAAACTAGGCTCACTTCCATGCCTCTGGTTCGCATGTGGAGGCTTTCCAGTGCTAACCATTTGTCCAGAATGAGCCAACGCCTCAGTTATGCCGTACAGGTGTCTGGTTTGAAACGGTTGCTGAACTTGGAGATGGGCAGGATAGGCCTGCTCCGGTCTGCCATAACGTCTGTCTAAATTGTAACCTTGAAGAACCTCTTGTAAAAGGCTGGGAAATTGCTGTGAATTATCCTCATGACCTTTAGCTCCTGCTCCTTGCCCTCTCTTTACCAAAGCCTCTGCTACAGAACCAGCATCTTTTGGATGCACAGGGCCATAACCAGCTGGTGATTGTTGATACCCCAAGTATCTGGAATTTGATTCCATCACACCCGCCGGACCAGTCCTCCCTCTGCTTTTCATCGACAAATCTGAGCCATATGTTGATTCTGGATAGCCATATTTATGCGGTCCAGACTGGGGAGGATTTTGAGGCCGTCCAAAATTGGATTTTTGGTGAAGGGAGGAATATAAACTCAGATCTACACCTTCCTCCCCATTATGGCCGCTCGATTCTCTTAAGAAAGAGTGTTTCTCTTCTATGCAGTTGCCTTGGGTATGCTTGCTTTTTTCAGTGTGACTTCCCTCAGACCGAGCTGAAACAATCACACCGACACTACTGGCACTCTGGTGCTCCTCAGAAGTGTGCTTTTCTCCCCTCTCGTTGTTGTGTAATCTGGATGCGGTGTGCAACCTGTTTTCTTTGTCCTGACAATTTTGTGAATTGACCTCTCCAACTCGCTGCATTTGGCTACGGCCTTTCTCCGTTTTGTCAACCGGGCCTTCACTTTCATTTTTGATGACCTCCTTTTTTATTTCTGTTGTCCTCCTATGGCCACCACCTCTGTGGTCACTGTATGTGAGACCAGGCTCTGAGACACAATTTGGCAGAGGAGGAGGAATACTGGAGGAGGTGGATGATGGGGAGGAGGAAACTGGAGGTGTCGAATGTGAAGTTGGGCCAGTCTCTGATGACTGACATCCAAAGGATGGAGATGACGACGAAGAGGGAACGCGTGCTTTGTTTGCTTTAGTTTCGGAAACACTTGGTTCTTTTGACGGTAAATGGGAGGCAATTGTTTTAACAGCTGATGCTTGCCCAGTCTGTGTTTGACTCTGAGAGGGAGGGTAATAGCCGGTTGGTTCAGACCCACTGCTTGCACCACTCATCTGCCTCACTCTCCCATGTTCCCCTTCAGAAAACTGCTCCTCACGGTCCACCTTGGTCCTCGATGAGCCTCCAACTGACATTAGTGAGGAGTCTTCATCGGCACCAGCGTCTAAGCTGGCGCCGTCACCAATCCCTGGCGCACTTCCATCTTTAACTGTGCTAGTGCTTGAGGCTGCACTTACATTTCGACTTCTTGGTTGTGATGGGGGCGCGCCATGCGTTGCCTGTTGCATCTGCCCCACATCCTTCCCCTTCTTCTGTGAAAGCACTGAGTCGGTGAGGAGCATGTGCTGAACTGTGTTTGGTAAATTGGCTACTTGTGAGCTCAAGGCATTAAGACTATTCAGGCCAGCATCCTGCATTTTGTCAAGTGGAGAGCATGAATAAATAGAGGGGCCTTCCTCTCGCGATCCGACTCCTGTGCCTAAACCCAATTTGTTTCGGCCTGTTGGAGGAAGACTGCTCCCTCCAACTGCACTCACGCTGTGAGCTTTATGACTGCCACTGCTACCACAACTACTGATGCTGCTATTTGAGTTGGGTGTGGGACTTAATTGTGGCATGGTCTGCAGTAATCTACCTTGACCATGGCTGCTACGGGGGTTTGACGAAGGAGGATGCGAAGGACCATGACCTGAGGGGTTTGCATGTACCTCTGAGATGCCCATCAAAGGGGACGGAGAGGAGCTACAACTGGGGGAATGCACTGCAGAGGCAGCTGGTGAGGGGTTGGATATCGGGCTAAAGTTTTGGTTGATTTGGGTTTGTTGAGCATTGGGATGCATTGGTGATTTGGCTATTTCTTGAGACGCTGCTTGAGGTATACTGGGATTGGAGGCTTGATGATGTTTAGCATATACAGAGCCTGGAGACGGGCCCTGGTGCTGCATCTTGAGAGAGTTGTCGTAACCTACCCCTAAGTTGTGCTGCGAGTTGCGGTGCTGTAGTGTGGCTTGCTTGTGAAGCGAAAGTGTCTGCGGGGAATATCCAGGATAATTTGAAGCATGGTAACTCTGCTGAACATTCTCCATTGGCCCCACATTGTTAGCAGCAACTGAACTGGAGACTGAATTTGAACTAGAGTTGACACTGGGAGAACTGTTGACTTTGGGATCGAACCCCGCGCTAGCAGCCCCGTCGAGATATCTCTGTGGAGGAGGGCTGTACATTCCTGATGACCCTGTGGATGCTCCACCCTGTGGGGAGTAGTGTGGGTACTGAGGGGTCATCCTGTGCCCAGAGTGAGGATAGCTCCTATGCTGCTGTCCATGGTGGACGGCTGGGAAGTTTTGTCCAAGCTGGCGGTGCTGCATCTGAGAACCTGGCACTGACTGCATTGCAGCATTCTGACTCATATTGTACTGATGAGAAGGAGAGAATGCTCCAGCACCAGCAACAGCACCTCCACCCAAACCAGCACTTGAGCCGTAGTCTACTGGATATGGTGACATCAGGCCAGATGCTGGTGCAGTGCCAGATCCAGCATGCCGATACTGGTGAGGTATATGTCCATCAATATTAGGGTACCCAAACCCTGCCCCATAAGCCATGCCCCCCCTTCTGTGCCTGTCCTTTCCAGCCATCGAAAAATAATAATCCATGGCCTCCTTCCTGTAGGGGTTGTTAGTGTTGGCGCTGTGAATGTTACCCTGTGTTGGCGATGCCTCCACAGCACCTCTGTTTCTAGCACTGTAAGCAAGCATGTGGCTGGCTTGACTGGGATGGTGATGGCCTCTGTGCAGGCTCTGCTGTTGCATCCCTGCGTAATCATCCGTCATCCTTGGGGAAATCTGGGGATCTGCTGGCTGAGGGGGATACGGAGTTCCCCCTCCACCCCTCCCACTGAACCCCGGGGGAAGCGAAGGGGGAACCGGACTGTTAGAAAAGTTCTGCATTGTTTTTCCACGTTTGGATTAAAAATGGAAATAACCGTCAGTGTCTACACCAGGGAATGCTTCTGATCAGAAACTGGAAGGCTTACGGCAGTAACCATAAATGACGAAGAAAAGAGAGTCTATGGCCTGGCAGTAAAACAAGGAAATGCTTTGGAAAACCAAATAGTTCAAGCTGAGGAATATCTATCGCAGATGTTATAATCACTTTTTTTTGTAGCAGAAAGTGGGTAGTGAGGTTGAACAGACAATGGTTTTATCAATACATGAAAAGGCCAAATGGTAAAAGTCTTACTTCTTCAATGTGACGATGGTATATGGTTATTTTCACTTTTCTTTTTTTTTGTTTAAAAAAAAAAGGTTCACTGTACAGCTGGGTCTTAAAAAAAAATGGAACTTTGAAAAGAAAAAGAAATATCTAGTGAAGCAGGTTTCTACTGCAGAAAAATACAAGACTAAAACTGTGCAGTCATTCCAATGAAGCTGAAGCAGTTTGGCACCGAGCAGGCAACGATATCACGTCTGACACACCACCATGTGAGATGTTCAAATGTCTTTACATGTACACTTCTCTGCTTTAATAACAGCTCAAGCAAACTGAGCTATGTTGGAATTGAATTGTGGTCCAATGGCATCTTGTGCAAATAAACAAAAACAAAAAAAAAAATCTCTCAATAAAGCCATCGAGAATGCGTTCCGTCGCGACAATCCTTCAGTCCGTCAATGCGTTTGCCAGGACCCGACTCACACCTGTGTGAGACCAAAACGGCAGTAACTTGAATCAATAGGTCTGAATACAGACCTTTACTGAACACTCCCAGAGGCAAACACTCCATTGATATTCTCATCAGCTCTTGGATGCAGAGTGTTATACTGTTTGAGATGTTCTTTTTCTTGGTCGTTCCCTTTCAAATACTCTTGTTAGTTGTTGTTTTTTTTGCTACGGCATGCATTCATTCGGACTGTAGAAGTCTTTGGTCCCTATTTAGTAATCGTTCTTCCCTTGTCTGTCTTCAAGATTCTTCTCGGTGCTCTCCTCTATCTTCAGCATGTGGCTGTCTTACCTTCGCTTCATTATGTTCACCACCGTTTAACTCTACCTAGTTCCATGGCAACAATTTTCCAAAAGGAGGGTAATCCATTTATTCCACCTCAAGTTCAGTCAATTCAAGCACCCGCTTTCGGTTTTTCTCTCTTCAGTATTTCCATGCAGATACGTTCATTTTCCAGGAGCTGCTGACCAGAAGCCTTTGCAACTCTGCAAACACAAAAGACGAATCAAAATAGTTAGCACACAAAAATGAAAAGGTATCATTTATTTAGTACACCTTGTGCTACATGTCTGTAATAGATATAAAGAAGAATATACTGTGGGCATTCAATAGCCTCTTTGGGTTAGTTTAATATTCTGTTTGAGTATTCTATTCAACAATCTCATTTCAGTGGTAAATTAAGACATATTTATCAATGCAACTACTACTAATTTAATTCAGTGTTGGTCTAGGATCATATATTGCAGATTACATCGGCATTTCCCATAAGTGGACTTATCTTTTTAGCAGGAAAATCACCAAGGTCCATCACAAATATATTCACTTAACCAACAACAATGTTATCATTGCTTCCTTGTTGCACACACTGCCCGCTAAACTTAAAAAGGCTTGCTTGGCCTCACATCAACACTGCTGTTTAAATATGCAGTGGGAGTACAGCCTTTAACAATACATGCCTAAGCTGTCTCTTCTGACTGATAACAAACAGGGCTGCTGGAGAGAAAAATGGGTTGGCGGCAGCACGCAATTAAGGCAACAGAGTAACATAAGACAAGGTCACAAACACTATTTCACATGTAAACAACCAAGCCAGTGTAGCCAGGACAGAGGCAGTCTCTCTAACATGAGACTAAAGGCCATAAATGGTGTATTTAACGTCTTTCAACAGGCCTTAATGGTTAAGGGGTGATAATCAAAAGGCATTACGACATCTTTATAGGTCAGCACCCAGAATTGCAGCGTGTGACACAAGCCTCTATTGTACACTGTAAAATGGTTAATGGCCCCAACAACACAACTTTGGGCGACTTTTGTGAAGTGTCGACCTACACTGGGCCACACAATAACAAGCCCTTGCTGTTTATGATTACGACTATTAGTCTGTGGGTAACTGGTGCTACTTGTCGGTCGATCTCATCAGTAGTGTGAACCCATCTTCACCAATGTAATGCATCGCTTTCTGCACAGAGAAAGTGATGGACAGTTAGATGGGCATGGGGGAAACAACAGCACCAGGGCGGGCTTACACACAACGATCTAGTCATTGCTTGTAAATCTATTGGAGTCAGACATATTTGCACACAGGTCTCTGTCCAGGGTGTCACAACTGAGGGTCAGAGCTGGTGGGTCGATGCAGTGTAAAATTGGAAAAGTTAGGACACTACTGCTCTCCATCCGTCTATCAGCCCCTACCTTGATTACTAATTAATCACAGCAGCTCACTGGGCACAACCAGGCAGCAGCGATCACAATAGAACAGTGCAGCGTGAATAAAAACGGGCTCAATGCAGTCTGTCAGCGAGTCGATCAATTGCATAGCTGCCTAATTGTTGAGAGCAAACGCAATGTTATTTTTCAGACTGTGATCAAAACGCCAGCTCCGTTGTATTCCAATGGTTTGTCGTCTTTGCTTGTCATCAAACACACAACACTAGCTTTTGTACGATTACCTCAGTGGCTACATTAGCCAGTAGCAATACGCATTACAATTAGCTGTGCAGTGCTGCCTCTTTTAGCTCTGAGAGGTTAGCGTTAGCTTAACAAAAAGAAAACCTTCACATACTGCAAATTAAAGACGCGATGCAGCCGCATACGTCGGGTGCTAGCTAAGCTACAACCGTTAGCGTCCTAGCAAGCCGGCTAATTTGCGTTTATTACATTATCACGCGCATTCGAGAACGTGCACACAACGATAGTTGTAGCAGGCTACAGAAAGAAAAAAAAAGGCACGGGGCAGCCAGGCAGCGTTTAGCTACGAAAGAGAGGTGATTAGGTGCAGATGTTTCCCCCCCCCTCAGAAACCCAGTGGGGCTGTGAGTAAACGCGTTAGCTAGCATACATAACGTCTACTGGCGAGAGACCCGGTGTGGGTACCGCATCAGACCGTCACGCAGCCTGACATTTTCCTTCAACAAACTACAGCTAACGTTTGCCAGAGGGGGAAAAGGCAAAGTCAGTCAGAGACGGGCTAGCTAACGCACTCTGAATGCATACCTGAAAACGTAGCAATACAAGGCCCCTCGAAGAGTGAAAGGCTGTTTTGTGACAATCCCGCTGCTGTGGCAGGAAACCCCAGTCTCGAGTCGACTGCTCCGCCGCTTTTCCCCTCACCCTGTTTGAGTCCAGACAACCCCGACCAGCGGCGGCGAAGTCGGGGGAGGGAGGGGGGGGGGGGGGGGGCCCGTCACGACACTCGGATCCCGGGCCTTTCTTCCGATTTCCCCTTTTTCCTTTTGTCCTCACCTCCAAAAATGATGAGAGCGGAGCACAATCGGGGTGCCTGTAGGTCCCGTATCCAGAGAGAGGTCCATACACCCCCGCCCCCTCCGCTCTTGTTCCCTCGCCTCGCTCTCTTTCTCTCTCTCCCTCTTTCACACACCGCTGAGGTGATTCCACCTATCTCGGGCTGAAATTAAACACGTTGCCATCTCACGAGCCTCCACTAACGCATGAAGATCTCAAACGTCAGTTTCCGCCACTGAATTGCATTTGCACGCCTTCACCGGGAGCTCGACCTATTCGTTTTCCTGTTAGACTACTGCTTTTTTCTTCTTCTTCTTCTTTGCAACAGAAAGACCGCCTTGAAAATGCATACACACTCATATTCCTGCACACCCCCCCTCCCTCCCTCATCTCTCTCCATCACATCCCTCCACCTCCCCTCCCTCTCTGAAGCTTTTGCTTTCCCACTGCTTTTCTTTCACCTATTTCTACCACAGAATCTAAGATGATAGTGATATTGCAAATGCAATTTTTAGATTTTTTTTTTTGCATGTCAGGGCTCAGGGATTTAAGCACAGGTCCTTTGTTCTCGTTTCATCTCCAGTGAAAATGAATTAGGGTAGCCTAATGAAAGGCACCAGGGTACAAAGGCAATATGCAGCGGAGACAGGGCTGAATGGAATGGTGGGTTGTGTCTGAAATGAACAAGTCAATAACAGATAAAAAAAGACAATTTGGGAGCAAATAGGTATGCCTGCATTAGAGGGAGATTGCGGTGCAATGGTTGAAGCTTGATCAGCTCACTGTGGTCTCTCACTGCAGACCCCATTGTACACACAGTGCAGCTATATTGTTGTTTTTCCGCAAAGGAAAAGCCACTTAAATCATTATTATAACAACTAGCCATTGGTTAATGTTTGACACGACTAGCTCGGAAACATCATCATGACCAGGATGACAATGGAGGGGCAACAAACGGAAAATCTTCCCCCCCCCCGACCCCCCCATTTAAATGTGTTGTGTTGTTCTCTGCCTGAGCTCCTCTGCTCTCACACAGGGCCAGCGAGTGCAGTGCAGACCCACTCACACTCTGCTACCATCATAATGATGTGCCCTATTGCCCCCCATCCATGGTGCTGCACTTTTAATGCACTGCAGTGTGTCACACATACGCTCACACACACACACACACACACACACACACCCATACAATGAAACCACACAAGTACGTACAAAGACAACAAACTGCACAATCACACACAAACAGTCAGCGTGCACATCAAGTCTCCCACTTAACCTGTCGATCACGAGAGTGAAATCCCAGTGTTCCAAACAACTGTTCAACACATCTCATTCCCCTCGAAGATACACGTCTATTTCTATCATGGTTGCCATAGCAACTGCATCACAGAGCCTTAACTGTGGATAATTTTTTTAGGCTACGTAGCTACACTTGCTTTTCACATGTGCGATTTCACGCAGACCCTCAGCCGCTTGAATCGAGCCGTCGTGTGCTCGCATTGCCACGAAGTCGAAGAGCTGAGAGAGCCGAGAGGCGAGATAAAGGGCACTGATACTCTGGGCCAGCAAGTCAGCCAGCCAGGGCTATCCAATCAACAGGAACGCCTGCTGGGATACACACACACAGACTCTCTCCATCACGGACAAGGGCACAAAATCTTCTGCAGAGGAGGCTCAAAGCATCAGGGTTGTAGAGAAAGCGACCGGTTTTGAACACACTTGATGCCCTCCACATTTTTCTAACACACACAATCATGCACACACAGTCCTGCAGAACCGTCCATCTCTCATGTTTTGAAATTGTAAACAGATAGGGATGGATTCAAAACAAGGCACTAGAAAATGTATTTAAATCTTCCACATATTTGTTCATATTAATCTCCGTTTTATCGTGGGCAACAATGTTTCATGCCTCAAAAAGCTGCTTTTGTGGAGGAAGTTGAAAAGCGCCTTTGTCGGTTTAGTTGTCTTATATCCATTGGCAATGTTTTTTAATTTAGAATGATGATAACAAAAAAAGAAAATGAGAACTTTGATTTCATGTCACTGTATTTTCATTACAGGGAACATCTCAAGGCTGCAATGCTAACGGTCGATATTGACACAACTTGTCCCCCAGCACTGTCTCTGCACAAAGGAATGGCTGAATGGTTACAGACACTTGAATAAATATGAGCACTAACCAACATGCCCACTACATTATGTAAAAGACCTTCAAAGTCCAACACAACCCAGTTAGGTAATCTTGTGAATACACTCCACAGCATTTACATTTTTTTACACCATCTACTTGCACAGAAATCTGAGCAAATATGTGCGCTAAGTAGCTAAAGCGAACATGAAAGCCTTCACGCACAAATGAAACGGCATTGCCCTTGACACGTCGGAACTAAGTGAGGACATGTTGCGTCAATGTGCAAACATTTGCATAGGATTCATTTCAAACGCGTTGAATGTGTCTGGTTCTCTGCAGAAGGTCCATGATTTGGACAAGTTGAATGGGCAGTTTTCCAAACTCAGCTGGAGCATACTTCTGTAACCTGAGTGCATGGCGAGAGGAATGGCGGATAAGTGGCTGCATTGCGTGATCCCAGCTTTCACCGTGAATGCAAACCACTCTCAGGTGTCATTTTGATTGTGCAGGTGTGAGGCTATAGTTAGGAGGCTCTTTCTTGCTACTGAATAACGCCTGCGGATATAATAACCAATAATGGCTCCATCACAGCAGAACGGTCACTATGGGGGAGCAGATGGCCATTTAAAAAAGTACTTTATATTATGTTAGGTCTTCAGGATTTGTATATGTTCACTATATATATATATATATATATATATATACTGTATATAGCCTGGACAACATTAGCATCCTGCTGCATCCAGTTCATACAACAGAAATCAAAGCAGCAGTGATTTGCAGTTTCCTTGATGACCACATGGAGTCAGAGTCATACAACAAACATGCAGCTATGCTCCGACGCTCAGAGGCTGGCCTTGCATTACAGCAGCAGGCTGAATGAGATGGAAAAAACAGCCCTGGTGTTATTTTGTCTGAAATCTCAGTTCAACAATCCCTTTGAAGTGTGTGCTTCTAAAGTTATGCTTTGGTTCATTTTCACAGTCTTTGATCCTTTTTTTCCAATCTGAAGTGTCCTACACTATCACAATTAAGTGCCCCGCAGACACTGAGCATTATATCAGCAGAGAGGCACAGCTTTGATAATACGTGGTTGAAAACATAGTTCTGAGGAAGCCAGACGGACGAGATCGTGAACTTTGATTGCTACTCGGTGTGTGGTGCCCCTCTCACGATCTCGCTGAAACTCTCCGAGATCAAAGAGCGTGATGCAGCCCAGTTGAAACACACTTGCAACAGCTCCGACTCCAAATCTATGACCTTAACAGAGGCCGATGATGCAAAGATGGATTTTTACTCAGAGGGACAAGAGTGGTACATAATCAGCCACCGCTCTTAAAGTGATGCTCCCATCGAACAAGTGGTGTTTACCAAGTCTTTAAATCAATAGCATACAAACAAAGTACACAGCAGGGGCTCCCACAAACACAAAGATACTCACTTCTGTGTGAGCCCTTTGCTTGTTCACCAAAACATTGAACTCAGTGGCCGCAGAAAACCAGCAGGGGGCGCTCTCTCCCCTAAAGTCTCTCGCCGCTCTCACATAACCCTCTCCCACACCAAGGCCGGCTGCCACACTCTCCTTGTCTCCTAGCAACCGCAGAACCCTGCCTCCAATCACTACGGATACCGGGAGGGATGGAGGGAGGAGGGTGGGAGAGTGTGAAAGAGGCGGAGGGGAGAGAAGAGGAAGAGGAGGAGGAGGAGGAGGAGAGGCTGGCTGGGCTTCAGCATCTCGAGCAGGCAAAAACTGGAAGTGTGGATGCAAGGGTTCCAGAGGTGGGTCGTGTTGGGTGGGTGGTTGTGAGGTCGTGTTGGGTGGGTGGGAGACGTGAATTACAGAGCCAAGGTTCTCAGGGACATGTTGAGATCATAATTCAAATCGGGTGTAATACAGTAATACAGAACGTGAAGTGGAGGAGAGTGATTGCCCAAATTAAGCCTGTTGCTCTTCAGGGTCCCCTTTTCCGTAGCCTCCACAGCTCATAGTTCTTCTCCCCCCTCTCACCACTCTCACCCACCTTCTCCCGTAGCCCCATTCAATTTGATGGTGCCATCATCATCATCAGCTCTGCTCCATCCTTGTGACTCGTGGTGGGCCTCTTGTGCTTTATCACTCCACTCTTCCTCGGGGGTCCGTCCTCCTCTCCCCGGTGATCTATGTTGCCCTCTCTCACACAGACACACATACAGAGAGTACAATGTGTGAACACGCACACACACACACACAGCTCCCACCCTACATTGCATCATACAGTCAGTGAGTGCATCACACACAAGTCACATATATTTACAGCCGGAGATGCCACATATAGTCGCATGTCACATAACAAGCCCATGCGACATTCTGCGTACACACACACACACACACACCTACACACACCTACACGCATGCTCGTCACAAAACACAAGCTTTCACACACTCAGTGTGATGCGACGGTGACCTTAGACACTGGATCTCCTCCCATCACCCCCCCACACACACACACACCTCCGTGGCGGCTGTCCAGTGACACAACAGGAGTCGCTGGAGAGAAAGCTGTAACAATTGATAGGGTACTTAAACAACACAATGACAGGAAACTGGGAATTTAACGGCT